TGTATCCTAATGGTCAATCGACATACCCCAAACTCCATAAACTAAATTATTCTCAGATTTGAAGCCGAAATCTATGAAAAAAGGCACTCAGAAATATTGAAAAATTGATAAATCACCCCAAATTGCTTAACACGATTTTATCTCAGAAACTATAAGTGCAAATGAGCTGATTTTTTCAGGGATTGTAGTCCTTTGAAAATGATGACATTCAGTGAAAGATTCAGCTTTCTATCTATAATAGAAAAAAAGTTATGACCTTCCAAAGTTTTCCAAAATCTAAATCATAAGGTAGGTACCTTCTTACTAAAATGATGAAATTTCAAATTTTTTTTTGCCGAGATTTTGTATCCTAATGGTCAATCGACATACCCCAAACTCCATAAACTAAATTATTCTCAGATTTGAAGCCGAAATCTATGAAAAAAGGCACTCAGAAATATTGAAAAATTGATAAATCACCCCAAATTGCTTAACACGATTTTATCTCAGAAACTATAAGTGCAAATGAGCTGATTTTTTCAGGGATTGTAGTCCTTTGAAAATGATGACATTCAGTGAAAGATTCAGCTTTCTATCTATAATAGAAAAAAAGTTATGACCTTCCAAAGTTTTCCAAAATCTAAATCATAAGGTAGGTACCTTCTTACTAAAATGATGAAATTTCAAATTTTTTTTTGCCGAGATTTTGTATCCTAATGGTCAATCGACATACCCCAAACTCCATAAACTAAATTATTCTCAGATTTGAAGCCGAAATCTATGAAAAAAGGCACTCAGAAATATTGAAAAATTGATAAATCACCCCAAATTGCTTAACACGATTTTATCTCAGAAACTATAAGTGCAAATGAGCTGATTTTTTCAGGGATTGTAGTCCTTTGAAAATGATGACATTCAGTGAAAGATTCAGCTTTCTATCTATAATAGAAAAAAAGTTATGACCTTCCAAAGTTTTCCAAAATCTAAATCATAAGGTAGGTACCTTCTTACTAAAATGATGAAATTTCAAATTTTTTTTTGCCGAGATTTTGTATCCTAATGGTCAATCGACATACCCCAAACTCCATAAACTAAATTATTCTCAGATTTGAAGCCGAAATCTATGAAAAAAGGCACTCAGAAATATTGAAAAATTGATAAATCACCCCAAATTGCTTAACACGATTTTATCTCAGAAACTATAAGTGCAAATGAGCTGATTTTTTCAGGGATTGTAGTCCTTTGAAAATGATGACATTCAGTGAAAGATTCAGCTTTCTATCTATAATAGAAAAAAAGTTATGACCTTCCAAAGTTTTCCAAAATCTAAATCATAAGGTAGGTACCTTCTTACTAAAATGATGAAATTTCAAATTTTTTTTTGCCGAGATTTTGTATCCTAATGGTCAATCGACATACCCCAAACTCCATAAACTAAATTATTCTCAGATTTGAAGCCGAAATCTATGAAAAAAGGCACTCAGAAATATTGAAAAATTGATAAATCACCCCAAATTGCTTAACACGATTTTATCTCAGAAACTATAAGTGCAAATGAGCTGATTTTTTCAGGGATTGTAGTCCTTTGAAAATGATGACATTCAGTGAAAGATTCAGCTTTCTATCTATAATAGAAAAAAAGTTATGACCTTCCAAAGTTTTCCAAAATCTAAATCATAAGGTAGGTACCTTCTTACTAAAATGATGAAATTTCAAATTTTTTTTTGCCGAGATTTTGTATCCTAATGGTCAATCGACATACCCCAAACTCCATAAACTAAATTATTCTCAGATTTGAAGCCGAAATCTATGAAAAAAGGCACTCAGAAATATTGAAAAATTGATAAATCTCCCCAAATTGCTTAACACGATTTTATCTCAGAAACTATAAGTGCAAATGAGCTGATTTTTTCAGGGATTGTAGTTCTTTGAAAATGATTACATTCAGTGAAAGATTCAGCTTTCTATCTATAATAGAAAAAAAGTTATGACCTTCCAAAGTTTTCCAAAATCTAAATCATAAGGTAGGTACCTTCTTACTAAAATGATGAAATTTCAAATTTTTTTTTGCCGAGATTTTGTATCCTAATGGTCAATCGACATACCCCAAACTCCATAAACTAAATTATTCTCAGATTTGAAGCCGAAATCTATGAAAAAAGGCACTCAGAAATATTGAAAAATTGATAAATCTCCCCAAATTGCTTAACACGATTTTATCTCAGAAACTATAAGTGCAAATGAGCTGATTTTTTCAGGGATTGTAGTTCTTTGAAAATGATTACATTCAGTGAAAGATTCAGCTTTCTATCTATAATAGAAAAAAAGTTATGACCTTCCAAAGTTTTCCAAAATCTAAATCATAAGGTAGGTACCTTCTTACTAAAATGATGAAATTTCAAATTTTTTTTTGCCGAGATTTTGTATCCTAATGGTCAATCGACATACCCCAAACTCCATAAACTAAATTATTCTCAGATTTGAAGCCGAAATCTATGAAAAAAGGCACTCAGAAATATTGAAAAATTGATAAATCTCCCCAAATTGCTTAACACGATTTTATCTCAGAAACTATAAGTGCAAATGAGCTGATTTTTTCAGGGATTGTAGTTCTTTGAAAATGATTACATTCAGTGAAAGATTCAGCTTTCTATCTATAATAGAAAAAAAGTTATGACCTTCCAAAGTTTTCCAAAATCTAAATCATAAGGTAGGTACCTTCTTACTAAAATGATGAAATTTCAAATTTTTTTTTGCCGAGATTTTGTATCCTAATGGTCAATCGACATACCCCAAACTCCATAAACTAAATTATTCTCAGATTTGAAGCCGAAATCTATGAAAAAAGGCACTCAGAAATATTGAAAAATTGATAAATCTCCCCAAATTGCTTAACACGATTTTATCTCAGAAACTATAAGTGCAAATGAGCTGATTTTTTCAGGGATTGTAGTTCTTTGAAAATGATTACATTCAGTGAAAGATTCAGCTTTCTATCTATAATAGAAAAAAAGTTATGACCTTCCAAAGTTTTCCAAAATCTAAATCATAAGGTAGGTACCTTCTTACTAAAATGATGAAATTTCAAAATTTTTTTTGCCGAGATTTTGCATCCTAATGGTCAATCGACATACCCCAAACTCCATAAACTAAATTATTCTCAGATTTGAAGCCGAAATCTATGAAAAAAGGCACTCAGAAATATTGAAAAATTGATAAATCACCCCAAATTGCTTAACACGATTTTATCTCAGAAACTATAAGTGCAAATGAGCTGATTTTTTCAGGGATTGTAGTCCTTTGAAAATGATGACATTCAGTGAAAGATTCAGCTTTCTATCTATAATAGAAAAAAAGTTATGACCTTCCAAAGTTTTCCAAAATCTAAATCATAAGGTAGGTACCTTCTTACTAAAATGATGAAATTTCAAAATTTTTTTTGCCGAGATTTTGTATCCTAATGGTCAATCGACATACCCCAAACTCCATAAACTAAATTATTCTCAGATTTGAAGCCGAAATCTATGAAAAAAGGCACTCAGAAATATTGAAAAATTGATAAATCTCCCCAAATTGCTTAACACGATTTTATCTCAGAAACTATAAGTGCAAATGAGCTGATTTTTTCAGGGATTGTAGTTCTTTGAAAATGATGACATTCAGTGAACGATTCAGCTTTCTATCTATAATAGAAAAAAAGTTATGACCTTCCAAAATTTTCCAAAATCTAAATCATAAGGTAGGTACCTTCTTACTAAAATGATGAAATTTCAAATTTTTTTTTGCCGAGATTTTGTATCCTAATGGTCAATCGACATACCCCAAACTCCATAAACTAAATTATTCTCAGATTTGAAGCCGAAATCTATGAAAAAAGGCACTCAGAAATATTGAAAAATTGATAAATCACCCCAAATTGCTTAACACGATTTTATCTCAGAAACTATAAGTGCAAATGAGCTGATTTTTTCAGGGATTGTAGTTCTTTGAAAATGATTACATTCAGTGAAAGATTCAGCTTTCTATCTATAATAGAAAAAAAGTTATGACCTTCCAAAGTTTTCCAAAATCTAAATCATAAGGTAGGTACCTTCTTACTAAAATGATGAAATTTCAAAATTTTTTTTGCCGAGATTTTGTATCCTAATGGTCAATCGACATACCCCAAACTCCATAAACTAAATTATTCTCAGATTTGAAGCCGAAATCTATGAAAAAAGGCACTCAGAAATATTGAAAAATTGATAAATCACCCCAAATTGCTTAACACGATTTTATCTCAGAAACTATACGTGCAAATGAGCTGATTTTTTCAGGGATTGTAGTCCCTTGAAAATGATGACATTCAGTGAAAGATTCAGCTTTCTATCTATAATAGAAAAAAAGTTATGACCTTCCAAAGTTTTCCAAAATCTAAATCATAAGGTAGGTACCTTCTTACTAAAATGATGAAATTTGAAAATTTTTTTTGCCGAGATTTTGTATCCTAATGGTCAATCGACATACCCCAAACTCCATAGACTAAATTATTCTCAGATTTGAAGCCGAAATCTATGAAAACAGGCACTCAGAAATATTGAAAAATTGATAAATCACCCCAAATTGCTTAACACGATTTTATCTCAGAAACTATAAGTGCAAATGAGCTGATTTTTTCAGGGATTGTAGTCCTTTGAAAGTGATTACATTCAGTGAAAGATTCAGCTATAATAGAAAAAAAGTTATGACCTTCCAAAGTTTTCCAAAATCTAAATCATAAGGTAGGTCAGGCACTCAGAAAAATGATTGTATCTCAGGAACTATAAGTGCAAATGAGCTGAAATTTTCAAGGATTGTAGTCCTCTACTGGGATAAAAATCGCTGAAAATCTCTAGAAAAAAAGTTATGATTTTTTAAAGTTTACAAAAATCTAACTAAGTACTAAAATGATAAACTCCTTTCAACTTTTCAAAGTTTTCAAAATTCCCAAACAAACTTTTGTACAATTTATTGCAGATAAAAAATCTGAACCCAACCCCCAGCTCCTCTCAAAATCCAGATACATTACTGAAATAGTCGTCAACATACAGCCTTTGGATTTCGTAATCTCATTGTACACATTGAAAAGCTTCTATTTGATTTTGGTAAGAAAAACAAAGCCTTTATAAAACAAATTTTACTAAGGCATATTTTTTCAAAGATTCCTCTACTAACCATCCCTGCAAGTACCAATGAACCACCCAAAAACGACACATCAAACAGTTTCCTATCGACAACCAACAACCAATCCCTACCACTGGCCTATTTAGATTGTCAAGACATTAGAGTGATTATGCCTTCAAGAGAGCTTTTAGGCTGCGGCACCTTCCATGACGTCTTAGTTTTCCAATTACAAAAAATCTCCTTGAACCCTCAAGCAGTTAACCCAATCTGCAGAACTCCTATAAGATCAGACATCTATGATCAAGCAGCACACGCTAGGATTTTAAATATACCAGGTAATATATTATCAGAATAGCAAAATCTTTTGGTCTAAACTGTATATTTTTAGGTAGTGAAGTTGAAGATAGACAATATCAGCTTGATATAGTAGGAATATCTGTTTGCACTGGCACTTGGGCTGATATTAGTACAATTCTATCGCCATCCATTGATCGTTTGTCAAGTTTAAGAGGCATGAGTGAAAATCCTGCTTTAGAGTGGAACATTTCTGAGCAAGGTCAACCTAATATGACCCCTTCTCTAAACTTGAAGTGCATTTTAGAAAAGTATTTTTTGTTTTTTTCTTGAAGAGAATCAATTTTAATTTTAATATTTCAGATTTGATATAACCATAGTGGCAGCACCTTCGATGGTTTACAAAGGCAACGTTACAATATGTGGCCACTCAATGGAAATCAATTTAGTTTCTGATATTTTAATTAATTTTTCTTTGCAACAAATCAAGCTACTATCCGCCATTCTAACTGAATTTGTCTTACTAGTCACTCCTCTAATAAGGGAGGATGGTACTTTGAAAAAAATTAAAATCAAATTCCCTTATTCTCACTTTGATTTAACTGCCTATGAAAAAGACTCAGACATTGACGTTAGAGACTCTGGAATTGAAACATCTGACTTCAAAAGTGTACAATCTTCAAAAACACATCAGAATCCAAACAGTGATAAGCAAGTGATTTTTCCAAGACCCCCCAATACTGTGCCTTATATTTATTCTTCTGTACCAATTGAAGTGGTTTTGACTGCTGGCAAAATTGGCTTGACATTGTACAGTGTTGAGGACGAACAAAATGCTAGTGCAAGGTATAAAGGAAAAAAGAAGAAGCATTTTAAAAATAAGGTAAAATGATTTATTGTTAATCTTGCAAAGTTAATGAAAATATTGTAGACTGATGAAGATCAAGGATACGAAGCTTCAGAAGAAAGTACAGACGACAGATCAGATTCCTACAAAAAATACATTCCATTGCTTTATTTAAGCTTCACACAACCAAATGCGTTTTATTCTAAACAACAATTGAGTGGCAAAATACAGGTAAGTCAAAGTTTGAATATTTAGTTTTTGTATTTACAAACAATTTCAGCTTTCATGCTTTGACATCAACTTAAAACTAAGCAATCCAGAATATGCCCCAATCAACCATTTGCCTACCGAAACAGATTTTCCTGTCAACCTATTGGAAACCAAAACAGGCACACCAAATACAAGTAATGGTATTTTGCCCGCCTTTTTCACATTTCGTCTAATAAAGGGCGTAGGCAAAAATTCAAAAATTGAGCTGGAAATTTTGAAACCCACAAAACTATTTTGTCAAAACTCCAAGTGGAGTCACTTGTTGACTATTAAGGATAAGGTTGTGGATATTTTTAAGAGTGGTGGAGGTTCTGAGAGTTTTTTCTTGTTACTTGAGGCTACCAATAATGCTAAAAGCAAAGAAAATGCTTTGCAAGGGCGTTCAGTACGGGCTAGTGATACTTTTAGTAAGTTCCAGCGAATAAGAGACTTATTAGGAACTACTAGTCAAATATCATTTAAATCTGATCAACTTATTTTGGCTATTTCTTCGGAGAATGGCCCAGAACTTCATGTGGGGATGCGCCAGTTGCGCAGTCAATTACTAATAGCTACTAGGCCAGAAAAAATTGGAATTATTACAACATTTGATTGTTTGACTTTGACTGTATTACACAATGAATTTAGGAAGTTGCTGCTTAATCCTTGGACTATTACTTTTGATGTAAATGTTTTTTGGGAATCTTGGCAGGATTTTGATAGTGAACCACAAGTAATTAATTATCATTGATACTTATACATATATTCAATGTTTTTTGTTTAGGTTCAAATTACTGCAGAAAGCGACTGTATCCTTATCGATGTTACTTCAGAGCAAATCAAATGTCTGGAGATGGTTTTGAAAGAGTTGAAGGAGTTTTTGGCAATGTTGCCAAGTAAAGAGGGCAACGAGAAGTCGGAGGTTGAGGCTCAACCGAAAATAACCGACAAGGATCAGCATTATAAAGACGATTTGAGGGCAGGAGCTTTTCAGTTTGTTGATTCTAATACGGATAATGCTGATGAGATGCCCTTACCATACCAGGTGTAGTAGTAATTTCCTAATTTTTCTCTTTTTATCCTAAAAGTTTCATAAGTTTTCCTTCAGTAGTAGTTTTCAAGAAAAATATTAAATTGTAAGAGATTACATTTTTGCTTAATTTAGATTTTGCAAGTTGATTTTCATTAATTTGTCATGGTGTTGTTTTCCACTGAAAAACATTAAAATTTTAGTATAATGAGCTCCTAACTTTTCTCTTTTTATCCTAAAACTTTCATAATTTTTTCTTCAGTAATTTTCCAGAAAGATATTGAGATGTAAGAGATTGCATTTTTGCCTAATTTAGATTTTGCTTGTTGATTTTCATTAATTTCCTATAGTGTTGTTTTCCACTGATAAATAAGGAAATTTTGGTGTAATGAGCTCCTAATTTTTCTCTTTTTATCCTGAAAGTTTCATGATTTTCCCTTTAGTAGTTTTTCAGAAAAATATTGAAATGTAAGAGATTGCATTTTTGCTTAATTTAGATTTTGCAAGTAGATTTTCATTAATTTCCTATGGTATTGTTTTTCAGTGAAAAACATGGAAATTTTGGTGTAATAAGCTCCTAATTTTTCTCTTTTTATCCTGAAAGTTTCATGATTTTCCCTTTAGTAGTTTTCCAAAAATATACCTACTAAAACATGAAAAGATGCATATATTTCCTAATCCAATTAATAAATGTTCCAGGTAATGTTTTGGACAAAAAAAATATCTGCGATGGCCTGGAAATATCCCCAACCCAGAGCCTTAACAAAAGTACGCGTTTTCCCTGTCCCTTACAAAATGGCCCTTACCGTCCAAGAAAACATTTCAGTCCTTTGCCATTTGGAATACTGGTCCGAGTGTAGAAACTGCTACTTACCCTACACCCAATTTTGCTTGTCCGAAAGCGAAATTTGCCATTTAACTTTACCCGAAGGTTGTCCTAAAACTGTTGTTGCTAGCACTTGGAGGGTAAAATAATAATTATTGTTGGCAAACCAATATTTATTAAGTAACTGATTACTTTTAGGTTGTAATTACAACCATTGATGATACATCTGAAGAACCTATTTTAAATAAAGGAGGAATTTCGCCAAGGGCTCTAGCAGCTTGTATGCGTATAGATTCTTATTTTAATAAAAACCTCATACCCAACCTAAATGTTGCCTTATACGTAACAAAAATAGAATTAGCCCTTTATAATTATTTTTCAAAAAATACTCGAGTAATACTTCCTAATTGTCTCAGAAAATATTATTCTGACTTAACTTTTCCTGAATCCCAAAAATTTTTAACTCTAACCTTGGATAATCTAAGCGCCTATTTATCTATTTGGAGCTTTGAAGAACTAATAACCGAATTGAGTAGTTCGGTTCATTCTACTGTATTGGATTATGGCTATTTGACTGAACAAAGTTTTATTGGTAAATGATTCATGATGTTAATTCACTTATTAATTATTGAATTTTAGAACCATTCACTTCAAAGTTAGAACTATGCCTGTCCAAAGGCCTTCAAAGCAACTTCATTTCAAAACCAATCCAAGTAAAATTTGGCCCAAGCATTGCTCACACTTTAGCAATAAGTGCACAAATGTGGACCCAAAACAACGACCAAGATTTTATTATGGTGACCAGATATGTTATTTGCAACGACACTAATGTCTCTATTAGATTTGGACAGTGCAGTACTGAAGAAAACGTTTTGGTTGCTTCTAGGGCTTTCCATTTATACTCTTGGAAATCACAAAGGAAAAAACAATTATTAAGAGTTTCATTAGAGGAAAACAACTGGAATTGGTCAACACCGTTTCCAATATACAAAGAAGGCACTCGCATGATTCATTTCAAAGCAAACAAAAAATTCACCCTTTTTGTTACAATCAAAAATATTTCAAAGACTCAGAAGCAAATTACATTTTTTGGGCAATTGATTGTGTGCAATATGCTTTCTGAGCATTTTGAAATGAAGGTTATTGAAGCAGTTAGTGAAAACAAAGAGCAAGAGTTCAGGAATGCTCAAAATCACGTTGTTGGAAGTAGAACTGCTGCCCCCAGTGTATTTATAAGCGACAAGAAACAATATTTTTTACGGTTGAGGTTTTTTGGGTTGGATTCCGCTTGGACTGGTGATATACCTTTAAGAGAACATGTTACAGGTTTGTATAAGGTTTTATTTGTGTGTGTTATTTATTTATTTTTATTTGTAGGATCTCAACCTTGGCTTGTCAAAGTGCCTTTACAGGAACGAGGACAATTTCTTTCAATATGGTGCAGGATTTTTATACAAGATTTTGTTAAGTCAAGACGAATTCTTGCCATGCTTTGGCCGTTGTTTATGGTCAAATCTAATCTTCCTATGAGCGCAAAGGTAAGAAAAAATTTTGCTTGGGGTTGAGTGATATTTGATATAATTATTAATACAGTGTGAGGATGCATATTGTTTTATTATATTATATATTTTACTTCATTCGTAATTTATATTGACCTGTTATTGACGAACAACATTCGATATTGCCATATTATCTGCTTGGCTTTTATTTTTTGAGCGTACTATTTCCATATGCTCTACGTATATTCCATGTTGACGGTAGTTAATTGTGAATCTGGTTTCTGCCGTGGTAGTGGAAATAAGCATAAGGAAGGCTAGTAGGAGATGTAGTAACTGCGATTTGGATGATGTCTGGGTTCTAGTGTTCCTAGTTATTGGCCTAGGACACTTGTTGCTGAGTAGTTTGTAATTTTTGAAGCTGTGAGGCTCTCATCTTTTTCTGTCGCAAGCAGTGACGGCTCGTGACTATTTCAAGTGAGGAGGCTAAAAAAATCACGAATTACGGTAAAGTAACCACTGCGCAGCAGACAACATTTGTTTTGGGTTGCTCATGCCCTCAATAATTTATCTCAAATTCAATAAAAACCATGAAAACCATATAAAGGAATTTTATAGGATTTTGCCGGATTTTTTTTGATTTTAAGTAGATCTTACGAGCTTTTCTGGAATTTTGACCAACTTTATACAAATTTTCATCAATTAACCGCTCAAAGTTTAGTTAACTCCAGAAAATTTGTACAATTGAATCTTCAGGCATTGATTTTGTAGGATTTTGAGGATTTCGAAAAAACTTCACGTGATTCTAAAAGATTTTAGATTTATGAGATTTTAGGTGATTTTGGATCATTTTAGGAAATTTAGAAACGGGTTTTATGGTGTTTTTACCAACTAATTTAAGGGTGAATTCTCATGAGCGTAAGTTGACATTTCTGGCGTAATCACGTGATAAAATGGTTGGGTTTTATTGGTTAAATATTCTCCATGTTGGATATTTTACCAATCAAATTACACCATATTATCACGTGATTCAGTTCCTCAGAATTTCACTAGAAGATTTTATGGAAATCCTTGAAATTCCAATCAAATGACAAATTTGAATAGAAAAACAGAAAGTCCTAGAAATTTTATCATAAGATTTCATAATACTTTTCCGAATTCCACAATAAAATTCAATGGAATTCTTGTACAAAAATTCCTCGGAATTACAGTAAAAGATTTTATGGAAATTTCGACAGAAATTACTCAAAATTTCACTAAAATTTAATTCAAGTTTTCGGAATTTTTCGTGGTTCCATGGAAATTTCACGGAAAATTCTGTTTAATTCCGAGGGAATTTTTCGGTTTCGATATAATTTCACTGGAATTCCACAATAAGATTTCAAGAAATTCCATGTAGGTGTAATTCTACACTATTCCTTGGAATTTGTCCAACATCGAACACAATCCTCCAAATTCTCCATAAATTCTTCCAAATTTCCTATAAATTCCCCAAGTTTCTAACAAAGAATTCCGAGGTGGTTTGCCTCTTGAAAAATACAGTCTCACACTTTCAAAGTTTTCCTGGAAAACTAATTGAGGAAAAAGTTGAAACTTTTTGCATATAAAGAAGAAGATTTGAAGCTTATTTTCTCAAAATTTCAAATTTTTCCATTGGAAAATAACAACATAAAGAATCTTGGAAATCAACCTACAAAAACTGAATTAATTGAAAATACAGTCTCACACAATTCAAATTTTTCCTCGAAAACTAGTAAAAGCAAAAATTTGAAACTTTTTGCATGTGAGGAGAAAGGTTAAACGCTGATTTTCCCAAAATTTCAAATTTTTCTAGTGAAAAATAACAACATGGAAATTAACCTACAATAACTGAATTATTTGAAAATACAGTCTCACACATTTCAACATTTTCTTGGAAAACTAGTGAACGGAAAAATTTGAAACTTTTTGCATGTGAAGAAAGTTAGAGACTCATTTTCCCATAGTTTCAAATTTTTCCATTGGGAAATAGCAACATAAGCAATCTTGGAAATCAACTTACAAAAGCTGAAATAATTGTTAATACAGTCTCACGCAATTCAGAGTTTTCCTGGAAAACTCGAGGGAAAACTAATTAAGAGAAAATTTTGAAACCTTTTGCATGTAAAGAGAAAAGTCATAGGCTTATTTCGGGTAAATTCGAAGGATTTCGGGAAATTTCGGAGAATTTCAGGTGATTTCGCAAAGATTTTAATTTGATTTCAGACTGTTACTTATTTTATAAGTATATTCAAGAGTGTATTAGTATAAACTGAAAAACGGCCGCGTTGGCCGATTTATGAATTTTGAGCCAATGACGAGGGATTTTTGGGTTTACGGAAAGATTTCTGAAAGATTCCGGAGGGATTTCGAAGTGATTTCGTGGATTTCGGACAAATTTGTGACACGATTTCGGGGAGTGATTAACCCCTCGAAGATTTCATCAAAATTCTTTGGAATTTCACTAAAATTTTAAGTTATTCCATGGGAATTCCGCGAAAATTTTAAGTAATTCCTTAGAAATACTTTAACATTTCAAAGATTTTATGGAATTCTTGGACAATTTTTTTTCGGAATTACAGTATAGGATTTCATGAAATTCCTCGGAATTCCACTAAGATTTCAATTTCAAAATTCCATATTTTTTTTTTAATTTTACTAAAATTCTTCAAAATTTTACCACTGAAATCCTGGAATTCCACAAAATTTTCATAAAATTCTTCGGAATTTCATTGACATTTCATGTAATTTCTTGAAAATTTTTCGGAATTTACTAAAATTTTATGAGAATATCCACGTTTATAGCCGAAAATTTCTCGAAAGTCCAATGAAACTTCAAGGAATTTTTCAAAATTTAATTTATTATCATAAGAATTTTTCGGAATTACACTGAAATTCTCTTTTAATTGCCAGGAATTTTTGGGAATATTAATGAAGTTTCAAGTAATTTCTTAAAAATTCATCGAAATATATTGAAATTTCATGTCATTACATGGGAATTTTTCGGAATATCACCGAAATTCCATGTTTTTAGCTGGAAACTCTTCGGCATTACTAAAATTCAGTAAGAACTGAAATTTCATGTTGGGTATTTCGGTGTGATTTCATATAATTGTTTAAAATTCCTCCATGTAATTCATTTAGGATTTCGTATAATTCGATCGGAATTTCACTGAAATTTCAAATAATTCGAGATGAATTAAAATTTAATGTGAATTCTATGGAAACTCCGCAAAAATTTCACATCTAATTCCTTTTTCAGAATAACATAATTATTCTACCGAAATTCCTGGAAATTCCACTAAATTATAAAATTCTAAGACTTTAACAGATTTATGGGAATTCCAAAAAATATTTGGGAATTTTAAAGAAAATATTTTTCAGGCATGTTAATGATTTTATTTTGAATATTTCCGATTTTTGATTGGCTCCAAATTATCCGCTGACCAATAGAATTATAGACTGGGGGGCCTCGTGATTAAAATAACTCCGGGCTTCGGGCTCGCGTATATAACTCCGGCCCTTTAAGCTCGCGTATAACTTTCGTCCTTCGGGCTCGCGTTTAACTCCGGCCCTTCGGGCTCGCGTTTAACTCCGGCCCTTCGGGCTCGCGTTTAACTCCGGCCCTTCGGGCTCGCGTTTAACTCCGGCCCTTCGGGCTCGCGTTTAACTCCGGCCCTTCGGGCTCGCGTTTAACTCCGGCCCTTCGGGCTCGCGTTTAACTCCGGCCCTTCGGGCTCGCGTTTAACTCCGGCCCTTCGGGCTCGCGTTTAACTCCGGCCTTTCGGGCCGGAGTTCTATTCGGGCTCGTATTACTGAGAGTATCCAAAATTCACAAATTTTTTTCGTAGAGGCACGGGATTGATTGAAATAATGTCAGATTTTTCTGAATTACATTGAAATATCGAAATTTGGAAAGTGTAATTTGTAAATTATTATTTTAATTAGGAATGAGGAATAAAAAACTGAGATTAAATTTTCAATTTTTTGGGGGAGGCTTAGCCTCCCCTGCCTCCTCTGACGAGCCGCTACTGGTCGCAAGTGGAATTAGTTTATGAATTGGTCTTTTCGTCATGGTGCCTCTCCTGTTTTCTTTTTTGTAACTACTCAAACTGCACCATACAATTTCAGCGATTCGTGCCAGCGGCCATTGATTTGGATTCACGTTTTCATCTTTTAGTAGGACCATAGTGCCTACTCGAAAGTTTTCACTTTGACTTTTCCATTTGTATGTCTGTTGTAGTCATGCAAGGTATTCTGTACACCAAGTATGCTAGGGGTTTTTCTTAATTTTTTTGGATGACTCGCCATCTTTGGGATTAGCTGCTGATCTCTGTATGGTGGAGCTCTGTGCGGCTATTCTTGGAACGGGTAAGAAGAAGTACTCGCCGGGGAGTAACCCAGAGTGAGTTCTCCCTTTGTTTCTCGTCCATTTGCATGAGAACAGTATTCTTAAATTTGAGGAGAGCCCGGAGAGCCTGAAAGTGAAATGAAAATAGAACACACCATTGTCAAATTTCGGGTGAGAAATTTTGACCAATCAAAACACAGATTTCAATGACAATCAACTTATTTGTGGATATTCAACGTCATTTTGTCTCACGGCTTTTTGGGTGAGAAATTCAAGAATAAGATATTTATCATTTTTGGGGAGACACATTCACTTTTACTCAAATATCGGGGAATACTCTCTCAATGAGATTTCAAGAATAGCCGCATTGGTGGTGCTAACAACTCTCTTCCTATTAGGAAGTGGCCAGGCGTTAACACACTGATGTCGTCTGTATCTTCTGTCAACGGACAAAGTGGCCTCGAGTTTAAACAAGCTTCGATTTGGCATGTTAAAGTTGTGAGTTCCTCATATTATGTGAGGCTGCACACAATGATTCGCTTCATATGGTATTTCATTGATTTGACCCTGGCTCTTCCCATATTCTTCCAAAATGTGGTGCGGCTGGGGGGATAAAGTGCCACACTGGGTACCCATATTTATTCTTGCGTTATGTAATGTCAATGTGTCGATTATTACGATGCGTTTTCAAATTGTTTTGATGCTCCTACAAATGTCGTTCCATTATCGCTGTAAACATTTACGCATTGGCCTCTTCTAGCGACAAATCTTCGGAATACCACTAGGAATGCTTCAGACGTCTTGTCACTGACAACTTCAAGGGGAATTGCTTTGGTGAATAGGCAGACGGAAACTGCTATATAGCCTATGTAACTCCAGTTATATTAGGCATTGCAATGCATTTAGTCTTTATTTTCAATGTTTTACATGTAAACTTAAACTACCTTAGCCTACTACAGTCATAATCCTAAATTATGTGCCCCAAAAGGGCACGGCCGATGTTGTGGCCCAAACTTAGAGAGAAATATAATAGGGGTAGTATTGGCGATCAATTCGGCATGACTCTTTTCTGGAGCACGCAATGGTGCTCCTACTAGGTCAATGCACAGTTTTGACTTTATGTCGTATTTTAGTTTTATAGTGTCCAGTTGTCATTCCATAGTTGCTAAGATATTCATGAAGAGGCAATTGAAAAATACCCTTCTTCACGTTTCTTTGGTATATTCTGTATTTAAAGTTTGCGCTGTCTCCGGCAAGCAGAGCGTTTGTAATTTAATTATGTGGGCATGTCCATGGGTGGTAACCCAGAGCTTCAATTAAGTTGCCGTTCCTAGTGAACTAGCCTAGTTAACATTTTCTAATTTAATTACATTCCGCTCGCCGGTTTACGGTGGCAACCTATGGTGTATGAGTCGGTGTTTAACGGGGTTGTGTGGGTCAAACTTGAGGGTGGCAAGGTTCCTGGTCAGGGTGGGTCCGTGTGCGGAACGACTGAAGAATTTGATTGAGACTTCATTGAAGTATTCGAGGATGGTGTTTATACCAGCAAGTCGATGTACTTCAGCTGTTCGGGTGTCCATTGGCAAGGAAAACGCGTTTTTTAGAATTTCATTTTGGAATACTTGGAGCTTTTTCTTCTCGGTGTTGGATATGAAGCTCCAAACAGGTGCTCCGTGAAGTTGGACGTATTATGGTCTTGTAGATGCTGATTTCATTTTTAGGGCTCAGAAAAGAATTGGTCTTCATGATGGGAGACAGAAGACGTTCGGTGATCTGTGCCTTTCTGAGGGTATGTGCTACCTGGGGGTGGCCCTTGAGGGTCTTGTCAAGAACTATTCCCCAGGTACTTGGCAGTGGTTTTGGGTTCAATTATGACGTTGTTAATCGTCAGAGGGGGGTTCATGATAATGTTTGTACGCTTCCTGGTAAGCGTAAGAAGTTCTGTTTTGGGGGTGTTGAGGGTGATTTTCCAAGTCTGAAGATAGGGAGTTAAGAGGTCCAGTTGTATTAGATCGCAACAAGCAGAATCTGCTGAAAAAATCCGAGTGAGTCTAAATTTTGTCTACACCTTTATTTTACGTCAAGAAATAATGTCTTAAAAGTCCCCATCAATATCGCCCTTGGGTTTCTAGATATTCAAGGTTAAAAGTAAAGGAAATCTTATTTTCTTAATAACTTTCCTTTTCGTCAGGTGTATAACTTTTTGTGTAGTTACAAGAAATTAAAAGCGGAAAATTCTCTAAAAAAAAGGTCTTTTTTGTACAACCAATGAGTAGAGGGTGCTAAAATAGTGCCAATGTGCCAAGGAGCCATGCACTTTTTCATTTTTCTGAATGTTTTTATAACCATCATTTGCTTCTTTGAAACATGTTTATTCCAGCTCACACAACTTCAAAGAAAAATAGGGTAGTGCTATGGCTTCACAATATAGTAAAAATCAAACGAGAAGAAGCCACACGCGTTATCGTTTGTCTCACTTTAAATGGAAGGGACCCAGAGAAAAGGAAATCTGTCTTCTTTGTCATCGATGACGTCAATGGCTTCTTCTCATTTGATTTTTACTTTACCATAGCACTATCTCACTCACGAATTAGCGTCACTTTCACCTTCCACCGGCCGCAGCAGCATGCCAACATTTAAGTCGAGTGTATTATCAGGTACAGAATTGTCTTGGGAAGGATTTGAATCCTGAATAATAGGGATGGACTGAGGGTTGGAAAATATAGCAGAAGGAAAAGAAAATGTTAGAGAATACGACGAGAATCTGGAGCTGGGGACAAAGAAAAGAACGAGAATTAGAAGATGAGAGAGAACGGAGACGAGTAAGAGGGGACAGAATACAAGAATGAGGATAGCAATAGCACATCCTCATTCTCCACCTACACTACAGCTAAAGTCACGACAAGGGAAATAATGAATTAGGCCTACAAGGAAAACCATGTAAAATAGAACGCGCCTTGCATCTTACCGCTGGGGTGGTGTGGAAACGGGTACTACCCTCTGAGAATTTTCCAATATTTTTCTCCTTTCACAGCCAAAAGAGTCGTAGGACTAGGACATACCGAAAACAAAATACACCTATTTAGGAAAAACTCATTTCTGTGAAATTTGACCTTGAATATCTTGAAATGCAAACAAGATACCGGTGGGGACTTTTGTGACAAAATTGAGATGTTATGTATTTTGGTAGCGTGAATAATTCTGTCACACTGTGGTAAATTATGCTGAAAAGTAATTTGATCTAAAGCAGTAAATAACAGTTTTCTGAACCGGAGGCAATCTGAACGAAGTCTTCTTTGTTCTCTTCTTGGAGTGGTTATTGAAAGGTGTTAATAGAGACTCAAAATAAGTACCACTTACCACTTTTCTGCTAAAGCTGGAAACACTCTAATTAGCACTAATCGGACAAACCGGCACGTAAGATTTTTTTACGCTACCACCAGTGTTTTAATGGGAATTTTAAAACCAGAAAATTTAGTACAAAATTTGAGACTTTATTGAAAATTGAAATTAAAAAAAAAAAAACTATCATCTCTTTGAAGAGCTTTCACTAAAACACCGCGGGCGGCAGAGTGAGCGGATGAGGAACGGACCGAGAACTCGTTGAGACTTTACAACTTAATTTTCCGGCGATTACTCGTGGTAAAATCTAGTGGTGAATTGGGGATAACTGAAGTTATGTGGCCTCTACATCTGCTTAAATAAGTGAAAGGAACCACCCTCTGGGTACCACTTTAGAAGCCCATTGGCTCCTCTCAGTACCGGGCTTGCGAGATTCGAGGATATCCACCCTCTTAACTTCCAGCGATTCGCTGAAAGTACGTAAATGTAACTTCTGTAATTGAGACTGCTAGATCGGTTTAACCATTGCGAGCTTATCCACCACAGTTCAGCTGATTCTAGTTTGTTAGGGTCCAATCTTCGTGATACGATATCTACTCAATGTTTTGATGTGATTTGATGTGATTCCATGATACCTGAGGTGCGTTTCTGTGTATTTCACATCCTGTATTTACAACGAAAATCTGCCATTTTGTCAGATCTTCCCTGATCCATCCTAAAGTAATCATGGAGTCGGTCCAGGCAAAGGTCTGAGTATTTTGAAACTGTAAGGATGACTTGATTTTCTCTATGATTGGCAACGCATAGTTCTAGCCGAGGTAAAGTTGTTCTTGCTGGGGCGACTTTGGACTAAGCTTGTAGGAGCGTGACAATTTGGGCTTCTTCAGTAGTTGTAAATGACTGCACCGTATGCTTTTTCAAATGCATCGCAGAATCCATGGAACTCTACACTCGAATTTGTATAGTGCATCCATTTGGAAATTTCGATCTTTTCGGAATCCTTTATATTTCTTTTGGAACTTATACCATCTTGCGAATGTGACAACGTTACTGCCATATATTTTGAATGATGAGTTTTGCTTGAATTATTACTGGAGCTAGCCAGGATATTTGGTTTACATAATTTAATTCAGTGTATAATATACTAATAATTATAGGTTCACATAGAAACGCCTACTTTAAGAGTGCATTTAGACTCTGTAGTTAATGGAAAAGGAGAATTACAGCAATTATACTGTCCTGGTACTATTGACCATTCTCATCAAATCACTTTCCAATTAGAAGAAGGTAAATATGGGTATCTACCTATAAAAATTCAAATTAACAATTATCATTTATAGCTCTTTCCAATGCAAATAATCCTTATGTGCCTTTAAACTACACCTTAGTGGATCAGAGGGAATTTTTCAAGAAATCCTCCAACGATGAAATTGAAACTATCCTAGCTTCTTTGAATCATTGCTTTGAATCAAAATGGCCATACTTTGAAGAGGAATTTGATGATATTGAGTGGATTATGGACGATAGTCAACCATTGACTCATGTACAAGTTAGGTAAGGCATTATGGATGATTTTTGTAATTTTATAATAACTAAAAACATTCTAGATACCAAAATGCTTGTCCATATTCCTGTGCCTTACTAGTAGAGCTACTGCCATGGTGTCTAATGGTAAACACCCTAGGCACCCCAGTTTCTGTATTACTTAATGGCATTGAACTATGCAGAATACAACATCATGGAATTATTGCGCCACCTAAGTAAGTTTTGCAATCAACAACTATTTTTGATTACTACTAAGTTTTAATAGGTTGGAAGAAAATTTCCATTTAGGAGTTTGCACAGGTACCAATTGGTTCTTTTCTGGCCCTTTACAACTGGCCAAAAGTGATTGGGCTCAAAGTTTTTACATGCCAAAAATAACTGGCAATATTCCTTTGGAAGGTACCATCAAGACTTGTGTAAAATGTGATTCCCATTTGTGTATGATTTCGGTCACTAGTACTATAGCCAATGAAATTCGGCTATTGCGCTTGTCTTCAACACACATACTGTCCAATCATTTATCAACCCAGGTGCATGTTATTTGTTTTGCAATTGCTGATAATAATAAGAATATTTTTGATTGGCCTGAGGAGATTGATAAGCATTGTTTTACTGTTGCACCTCATTCAAAGAAAAGGTAACTGGTTTATAATAATAATAATTATCACTTATAATTTCTTTTGTAGTCATTCAGGTATTCCAATAATGCAATGGTTTATGCTAAAGAACGATTCAGAATCTTCCAATGCAGACTATGTACTTTATATATCGTTTTCTGTAAATCCTGCTGCAGGGTGGTCTTGTCCGATAAGAGTGGACAAACCTTTACTCCGTAAAGCTTTTGCAGTGCAAAACAATCAAACATCTGTAAGGATTTATTTGAGTATAAATTCAAAAGAATAATAATATATTTTTTCAAATATATAGATGCCTGTAGTTTTAACAGCCCAAGAAATCAAAGGCCAAGTATTTTTGGCTCTACACAATGACCCTAGGCCTCAAATTTTCATCGAAAACAAAACCAATGTGCTTTTTTATTGTGGCCAGACCTTGCCTGATGAAACTTCAGTGGTTGCTGAATCTGAACATTTCAAGTAAGAGTTTTTTCTTTTACAATACAACATAAATTGTATGATGTTTTTTTTTAGATGGAACTGTATTCTACCATCCTTATCAGGCACCTACTATAACATGCCAGCAATATCGCAAAAATTCCCCGAGCTACCTCAAGTTTATTTTGCTGAAAAACTATCATTGGCTTATGAAAGTCAATTGGAATGGTCAACTGGCATTAGTATAGTCAACAATAATGATCTTTTTATACGTGTCCCATATTATGGAGATGTTAAATTGACTATTGTCAATACAGCTTGTATAACATTTTTGACTATAGAAAGTGTGGGGCAAGTTGAAATTAGTGCCAGAGACATTAGGGTGCGTTTATCAATGCGAGATTGCACTGAGAAAACTTTGATTATCAATCAAAATGAAGAAATTGAAGTAATTATTATTATTATGAAAATTTTATATGTCTTACTAAATATGAATTTCTAGCAAATAAACTTAAGTCCATCTAGTTTCCAAAAATTGCCCACAGTTGCAGAGCAATTTCCTACAAACTTTGAATATACCAAAAGCCAATATTCTGATAGGACTTTGATTAAAACTTCTTGGAGAAGTAATTTGCTAGTGAGCACTTTGCCTTTAAAAGACACTTGGGCTAATATAAAGGTAAACTATGTTGTTTATGTTCCAGGAAAATAACTTTTTGTAATTTTAGTTCAATATTTTCATTAAAAGTTTTGGTATAACATTAATATCTGACGTAGAAGAAAACGAAGAACGATGGGAAATTGCCAATTTAACTTGTGACGATATAATTATTGTAGCTCAACAAAATGAGCATTTAAAAGTGAAATTGTCTATGTCAGACATCCAGTTTGATAATCAGCTACATACAAGGGCCTCATATGATTTCCCTGTTGTGCTTGTGGGCCAAGACAAAAAACCTTTGAAGAAAATTAACATTTTAAACATTCCAATGGAGGCTCTTTTAGAAAATTTCCAAGAAAATTCCTTGGTTGTTGTGGATTTTGTGTTGGAAAGTTGGGCCAATGAAAGTCAGACTTATACAGGCATTAAAACCATGAAACTATCACTTAATCCTATTGCCTGCTTCATCGAAGACAGATTTGTTACAAAACTGATGCACTACATGAAAGATTTGAATATTGTTACTTTAGTTATTTGGCCAGTGCATAGGCATATTACCAAAATAAGTAAAATTGTTTTGTTTGTAACTTCATTGTAATCAATAATTGTTTCTTTTAGGCTCAAATTCAATATCGGTGAATGTTCCAGAATTGGTGTCCTGGCAGTGTGCACTTTTAGCTCGTCCACTGACAATGAGGACTTTTGTTGTCAGTCCTCTATCTATGCTATTGTCTGTCCATAGTTCAATGAAAATGTATATTGCGTTGGATCAGAGTCCTTTGCAGTTTAGTCAGTTTGAACGTAGAAGGCTGTTTACTACATCATATAGGTAAGTGATTATTTCAATATCGCCAATATGAGAAATTCTTGAAAATCAGCCTTGTAAAGCAAATTTAGAAAAATAGGCACCTTGTTACATTACAATGGTTTTCTGAGAAACCCTGGAATTTCTTATATTATCGTTTTCCACTGGATTAATTTGAAATTTTAGTATAATGAAAATTTCAAAATTTTCCTTTCACTGGGCTTTTCTAGAAATCCTCGAAATATTAGAGGGTGCATGTTTCTTATAGATTGATTTGAGAATTTCTTATATGTTGTCGTTTTCTACATCTGGATCAATTTGAAATTTTAGTATAATGAACTTCTTGCCTTTCCGTTTTAATCCTCAAAGTTTCAAAATTTTCCTCTGTCTGGTTTTTCCAGAAATCTTCAATATGTAATAGGGTGCATATTTTTCAGTTTTATAATTAAGAATGATATTCTGGAATTTCTTATGTTGTCGTTTTCCACTGGATCGATTTGAAATTTTAATACGATGAACTTGTGGTCTTTCTTTTTTCATTCTAGAAGTTTCAAAATTTTCCTCTCAGTGGTTTTTCCAGAAACCCTCAAAATGTGAGAGGGTGCATTTTTATTAGTTTTAGATATTGGAATTTCTTATATATGTTGTCGTTTTCTACTGAATCAATTTGAAAGTTTAGTATGATGAACTCCTAGCATTCCTCTATTTATTTTGAAAGTTTCAAAATTTTGTCCTCACTGGTTTTTCCAAAAATTTTCGAAATGTGAGAAAATGCACTTTCTCACATTACAATGGTTTTCTGAGAAAGTATTCAAGAGAAAGTTTCAAAACCTTTGGGGTGCTAAGAGGAAGGTTAGGAGCTTATTGAGCTAAAATTTCAAGTTGATCCAGTGAAATCATCATTCTGAGAAATTCTCGAAAATGAACTTTGTAAAGCCAATTTACAAGAAACTGCACTTTCTCACATTACAATGGTTTTCTGGGAAACCAGTCAAAAGAAAGTTTCAAAACTTGTGGGGTGCTAAGAGGAAGGTTAGGAGCTTATTGAGCTAAAATTTCAAGTTGATCCAGTAAAAATCACAATTATGAGAAATTCTTGAAAGTCAGTTTTGTAAAACCAATTTACAAGAAAATGCACTTTTTCACATTACAATAGTTTTCTGAGAAAGTATTCAAGAGAAAGTTTCAAAACTTCTGGGGTGCTAAGAGGAAGGTTAGGAGCTTATTGAGCTAGAATTTCAAGTTGATCCAGTGACAATCACCATTATGAGAAATTCTCGAAAATCAGCTTAGTAAAGCCAATTTACATTAAAATGCACTTTCTCACATTACAATGGTTTTCTGAGGAACCATTCAGGACAAAATTTCAAAACTTCTGGGGTGCTAAGAGGAAGGTTAGGAGCTTATTGAGCTAGAATTTCAAGTTGATCCAGTGACAATCACCATTATGAGAAATTCTCGAATGTCAGCTTTGTAAAGCCAATTACAAGAAAATGCACTTTCTCACATTACAATGGTTTTCTGAGGAACCATTTAGGAGAAAGTTTCAAAATTTCTGGGGTGCTAAGATGAAGGTTAGGAGCTTATTGAGCTAAAATTTCAAGTTGATTTAGTGACAATGACCATTATGAGAAATTCTCGAAAATCAGCTTTGTAAAGCCAATTTACAAGAAAATGCACTTTCTCACATTACAATGGTTTTCTGAGGAACCATTCAGGAGAAAGTTTCAAAACTTCTGGGATGCTAAGATGAAGGTTAGGAGCTTATTGAACTAAAATTTCAAGTTGATTTAGTGACAATGACCATTATGAGAAATTCTCGAAAATCAGCTTTGTAAAGCCAATTTACAAGAAAATGCACTTTCTCACATTACAATGGTTTTCTGAGGAACCATTTAGGAGAAAGTTTCAAAACTTCTGGGATGCTAAGATGAAGGTTAGGAGCTTATTGAACTAAAATTTCAAGTTGATTTAGTGACAATGACCATTATGAGAAATTCTCGAAAATCAGCTTTGTAAAGCCAATTTACAAGAAAATGCACTTTCTCACATTACAATGGTTTTCTGAGGAACCATTTAGGAGAAAGTTTCAAAACTTCTGGGATGCTAAGATGAAGGTTAGGAGCTTATTGAACTAAAATTTCAAGTTGATTTAGTGACAATGACCATTATGAGAAATTCTCGAAAATCAGCTTTGTAAAGCCAATTTACAAGAAAATGCACTTTCTCACATTACAATGGTTTTCTGAGGAACCATTTAGGAGAAAGTTTCAAAACTTCTGGGATGCTAAGATGAAGGTTAGGAGCTTATTGAACTAAAATTTCAAGTTGATTTAGTGACAATGACCATTATGAGAAATTCTCGAAAATCAGCTTTGTAAAGCCAATTTACAAGAAAATGCACTTTCTCACATTACAATGGTTTTCTGAGGAACCATTTAGGAGAAAGTTTCAAAACTTCTGGGATGTTAAGAGGAAGGTTAGGAGCTTATTGAGCTAGAATTTCAAGTTGATCCAGTGAAAATCACCATTATGAGAAATTCTTGAAAATCAGCTCTGTATAGTCAATTTACAAGAAAATGCACTTTTTCATATTACAATGGTTTTCTGAGGAACCATTCAGGAGAAAGTTTCAAAACTTCTGAGGTGTTAAGAGGAAGGTTAGGAGCTTATTGAGCTAGAATTTCAAGTTGATCTAGTGAAAATCAGCTTTGTAAAGCCAATTTACAAGAAAATGCACTTTCTCACATTACAATGGTTCTTTGAAGAACTATTCAGGAGAAAGTTTCAAAACTTCTGGGGTGCTAAGAGGAAGGTTAGGAGTTTATTGAACTAGAATTTCAAGTTGAACCAGTGGAAATCACCATTATGAGAAATTCTCAAAAATCAGCTTTGTAAAGACAATTTACAAGCAAATGCACTTTCTCACATTACAATGGTTTTCTGAGGAACCATTCAGGATAAAGTTTCAAAACTTCTAGGGTGCTAAGAGGAAGGTTAGGAGCTCATTGAGCTACAATTTCAAGTTAATCCAGTGACAATAATCACTATTATGAGAAATTCTTGAAGATCAGCTTTGTAAAGCCAATTACAAGAAAATTCACTTTTTCACATTACAATGGTTTTATGGGAAACCAGTCAGGAGAAAGTTTCAAAACTTCTGGGGTGCTAAGAGGAAGGTTAGGAGCTTATTGAGTTAGAATTTCAAGTTGATTCAGTGACAATCACTATTATGAGAAATTCTCAAAAATCAGCTTTGTAAATCCAATTCACAAGAAAATGCACTTTCCCACATTACTATAGTTTTTTGAGAAAGTATTCAAGAGAAAGTTTCAAAACTTCTGGGGTGCAAAGAGGAAGGTTAGTAGCTTGTTGAGCTAGAATTTGAAGTTGATCCAGTGAAAATCACCATTATGAGAAATTTTTGAAAATCAGCTTTGTATAGTCAATTTACAAGAAAATGCACTTTTTCATATTACAATGGTTTTCTGAGGAACCATTCAGGAGAAAGTTTCAAAACTTCTGAGGTGTTCAGAGGAAGGTTAGGAGCTTATTGAGCTAGAATTTCAAGTTGATCTAGTGAAAATCAGCTTTGTAAAGCCAATTTACAAGAAAATGCACTTTCTCACATTACAATGGTTTTCTGAGGAACCATTTAGGAGAAAGTTTCAAAACTTCTGGGATGTTAAGAGGAAGGTTAGGAGCTTATTGAGCTAGAATTTCAAGTTGATCCAGTGAAAATCACCATTATGAGAAATTCTTGAAAATCAGCTTTGTATAGTCAATTTACAAGAAAATGCACTTTCTCACATTACAATGGTTTTCTGGGAAACCAGTCAGGAGAAAGTTTCAAAATTTCTATGGTGCTAAGAGGAAGGTTAGGAGTTTATTGAACCAGAATTTCAAGTTGATCCAGTGAAAATCACAATTATAAGAAATTCTCGAAAATCAGCTTTGTAAAGCCATTTTACAAGAAAATGCACTTTTTCCCATTATAATGGTTTTCTGTGGAACCATTCAGGAGAAAGTTTCAAAACTTCTGGAGTGCTAAGAGGAAGGTTAGGAGCTTATTCAGCTAAAATTTCAAGTTGATCCAGTGAAAATCACAATTATGAAAAATTCTCGAAAATCAGCTTTGTAAAGCCAATTTACAAGAAAATGCACTTTCTCACATTACAATGGTTTTCTGAGGAATCATTCAGGAGAAAGTTTTAAAACTTCTGGGGTGCTAAGAGGAAGGTTAGGAGCTTATTGAGCTAGAATTTCAAGCTGATCCATTGAAAATTATAATTATGAGAAATTCTCGAAAATCAGCTTTTTGAAACCAATTTAGTAAAAAAGAACCTTTTTACATTACGATGATTTTCTGAAAAATTATCCAGAGTAAAGTTTTCAAACTGTCGGGGTGGCAAGAGGAAGATTAGGATTTCATTAAGCCATAATTTCAATCCAGTGGAAATCATCAGTATGACAAATTCTCAAAAAACAGCTTTGTAAAGCTAATGTAGAGAAAAAAACACTTTCTTATGATTATAAGTTTTTTGAGAAACTATCGAGGGGAGAGTTTTGAAACTTTTCGGGTGGAAAGAGGAAGATTAGGAGTTCATTGAGCTATAATTACAAATTAATCCAATGAAAATTAACAATATGAGATATTCTGGAAAATCCTACTATTTTCTGTAATCTTTCCACAAACCTAAAACTCTCCCATTGCATTTTAAGTCCCTGTCAATTAATGCTCCATTTTTTTGTAAGTTACTAAATTTAAATCTCAAAGAAGTCTCATAGTCATATTTCTGAGCTAAAAATAATAATTTTCTGAGTACAGATTGGGCCACTCCTTAACCATGCACTATCTTTCCGGAGCCATCTTCGGTGCAGGCTGGGTAGTAAGCTCCCTAGAACTCCTCGGCAGTCCTGGCGGACTAGCCAGAGCCATGGGCACAGGCCTCAGAGACTTTGTCAGTTTACCCTATAGAGGATTCGTGCATGGACCTATGGCATTCCTCAAAGGTAAATATAAACCCTAACCAATCCTCAAATAACATTTTTTGCATAAAAATAGGCATTACAACTGGATCAGCATCTTTAATGAAACACGTCACCGCTGGTACATTGCAATCAGTCACAAAACTGGCTTCCAGTGTTGCTAGGAATTTGGATAGATTGACTTTAGATGAAGAACATCAGAGACGTACTGAAGAACAACGGCGGCAACGACCTCAAGGAGTTGCACAAGGATTTATGCAGGTAATAACATATCCACCTTAAAATTACTTGACTATATCAGCCAATTCATAGGGTATGACTGCTTTTGGTATAAGCCTTCTAGGAGCTGTAGGAGGCATCGCCCATCATCCCCTACAATCGATGATGTCTTCAGGGGCTTCGCCTCGTTCTCTGGCTGCAGGAGTTGGACTAGGTATAGTGGGAGTGTTCACAAAACCCTTAAGTGGGGCTGCAGAGTTTGTTGCAATGACTGGTCAAGGTTTGTTACAAGGAGCAGGTTGGAATTCTTTGCCCGATCCACGCAGTTTACCACAAACAATCAAAATTGAGCACAGCAACAATTCCAATTTAAAATACCCTTGGAAATTGGGTGAAATTTTAAACAGTCAAATTTTGTTTGTGACTGAAGCCACTAGCATAAGCCACAATGCAATATTTGCTGCAGTAGCTCTTATTTTGACTGTTGATAGTTTTGTGGTTGTTAATCTAGAGAATGATGAAATTGTTAAAGTTGTTCCGTTAACTGAACTGAGTGTACTTCAAAACGCAGATCCTACCATTTTAACTTTAAAACATTTGCCTGCTAAATTGAATCAGAAAGATTTAGAAAAGGTTGAAGATGAATTAGCGATTAATATGGATCCTGAAATGAGAGCTAGAGTTGCTGATTATGTTAGGAGTACTGTAGGGTTATTGAATCCTCCCGAAGATGTTTCAGTACATTCAGGTATCAGTATAAGTCCACTGAACACACCTGATATTGAGGATAACACTAAACAGGAAGGTGCCGTGATGAATTTTTATATTTATTTGCAAAATATGAGGTATTTTGTGCAACTGTTGAATTTGGCTACGCAGCAAAGAGGTGGCAATCATTTTTCTGTTTTGTAACAATAATTGTATATTATTTGTTTGTATATAAAGATGTCAATTATAAATAAAACGCACATTTTTTTTTTTTTTAAACATTAAATATATAAGTAAATGTATTTTTAAAAAAAGTCTTAGAATAAGTATAATAAAATGTATGTTCATGTATATTATAATTTGTACAATAAAAAAAAAGGAAGATTTTTATTAAATATAATTAGACATTGATTGAAACATTCAGCTCACAGTCAGGGTATAATGGAAATTAATTATGTATAAGTACAAGAGGAGTGAACTATATGAAATGCCAAAAAGGCTTTGTTCCAAGCCGCAAGAAAATTGTGCACTATTTTCTTGTAGATTGCAACAAAGCTACAAACTTAACTAAAGCAGTCTTAAATTACAATTAAAATTTTTACAGCTACTAATTACAATTTGGACAGAGGCGCACATAGGTACATTAAATCTGAAACATTGAAGTATTATGTATTTTATCATTACTTAATGGGGTTTTTATTTGTTAAAATAAAATCTTTGGTATAATCTAAAACAAAAAAAACTTTGCGTTTACAATTTCTATTTTGAAAAAGGCACAATATTATGTATAATAACCTGAGAAAAACATCTTCTAAGTAATTGAAATAAAAGAGAAAAAATTGGGTTTTTAAACGTTGCCTCCGTAGCTCTGTCTGGGTGGTTGTAAATAGGGACTGCGCCCTGGGGGCCCACCATTGACAGTCACTAGGGTGGTGGTCGTAGCCTCCGAACCGCAAGATTCCCGTTTGTGGTAGAAGGTCGGTTGGCTATAAAGTCTGCAAAAAGTCAACTTATAAAATCAGAATGGTTCATATTACACAATTACTCATCGTAACTGAGTTAATCGAAACTTTATATTTGTTCGAAAACAGGGTTGGCATACACTATACACAAAAACCCAGTGGGTTTTTGTTTCTGACACAAAAACCCCAATATCAATATTGAAAAAAATCTAGTGGGCGTTGGGTTTCTTGTGTCAATTTTTATTAGAGGGCTTTTTAGAAACACCCTTTTTCAGGGAAAACCCTTAATTATTGGCGCAGTCGGTAGGATAGTGGAAGAGTCCTTAAGGATCCTCGTTTTTAGTGATTTTAGTATTGATATGCATCATTGTCGAGACAACCGATGAAAAACTTCAGGTAGTCCTTAGCACGCAGTTGGACCTTGATCAGTTTCATATCTACATCACGTATTTAATTTTTCAAAAATTTTCTGTCAGCGCATGGCAACATTCCTAAAATCAGAACTAATCACCTAAATTCAGATAAAGAAAGGACAATACAAAATTTATGTAGGAAGTATGCAGACATTTTTCATTTGCCAGACATGTCCTTGACCTTTATATAAACCATAAAAAAAAAAGATGAGATTCCAATGTACAGGGTGGCCCAAATTCGAGCCTCGTCATTAGGATATGGGAAACCGTAAGAGATACGGAGTCGGTTAAATTATGGCAAATTTGCACAATTTTATGACCAATAGAATGCGGTTTTGAAATTGGAAAGATTCCGAATACTTCCGGAGATATTCGGAAAAAACCGAAATTCTGTAAAATCGTTTTTATTTTTTCCTGGGCTTATTTGAAGAGCAATTTTAAAATAAATATCACTTCATCATTGTCACTTTTTCCCCTCTAGAAGATGGTGCTACTAAATTTAAAATTCGACGTTTCGTCTTCAGGCGGCCATCATCAACTTACTTTTTTTAAATACGGACCTGGATTTTTTATCTGCGATTTTGTCATCTTTGGGTATCCTAAAACCGATAATATTTATAATTTTTCAATAACACAATAAAAAAAGCAGGTCCGTATTTAAAAAAAATAAATTGATGATGATTCCAGAGAAACGAAACGTTGAATTTTAAATTTAATACCGCCATCTTGTAGAAAAGAAATAGTGACAATGGGAATGTGAAATTAGTTTTTCAAAATATTTTTTTCTATTTTGGTGTCATATCGAAGTCTTTTCGACACTAAAAGTAGTTTCGAAAAGAAGCTCTTTGTGACACTCCTTTTTTACTTATCGGAGGTTGGTGACACTGACTGACTGATGGCCATCAAACTGTCATTCACTATTTTATAATAGAAGATTTCTATATTTGGCATGTAGTGTTACCAACCTAAACTATGAAATCAGGAAATATGAGAATAAAATTTCCAAGAAAAATTGTTTTTTTTTACTAAACAATACCAAAATAGAAAAAATAGTATAAAATATTCGTTTCATAAGACATTTTATCGCACTCGCCCTTTAGAAAACTCGCCTCCGGCTCGTTTTCTAATATAGGGCTCGTGCGATAAAATGACGTCTTATGAAACTTGTATTTTAATGTACTATTTTCTATTTTGGTTTCATATCGAAGTCTTTTCGACACTGAAAGTAGTTTCGAAAAGAAGCTCTTTGTGACACTCCTTTTTTACTTATCGGAAGTTGGAAACACTGGCTGACTGATGGCCATCGAACTGTCATTTGCGATTTTATTATTGGTAAAAATAAAAATAAAAAAGAAGATTTCTATATTTGGCGTGTAGTGTTACCAACCTAAACATGAAATCAGGAAATATGAGAATAAAATTTCCAAGGAAAATTTGTTTTTTTTTTTAATTAAACAATAACAAAATAGAAAAAATAGTATAAAATATTCGTTTCATAAGACATTTTATCGCACTCGCCCTTTAGAAAACTCGCCTCTGGCTCGTTTTCTAATATAGGGCTCGTGCGATAAAATCACGTCTTATGAAACTTGTATTTTAATGTACTATTAAATAAAATCAGGAAAAAATCAAAACTATTCGAAAAAAACATGAACTTCTCGTATTTTTCAAATTTTTTCCTGATTTCATTTAAAAAGATTTTGAAAAACTAATTTCACATTCTCATTGTCACTTTTTCTTCTCTACAAGATGGCGGTATTAAATTTAAAATCCAACGTTTCGTTCCTCTGGAATCATCAACAATTTATTTTTTTTAAATACGGACCTGCTTTTTTTACTGTGTTATTGAAAAATTTTAAACATTATCGGTTTTAGGATACCCAAAGATGACAAAATCGTAAATAAAAAATCCAGGTCCGTATTTAAAAAAAGTAAGTTGATGATGGCCGCCTGAAGACGAAACGTCGAATTTTAAATTTAGTAGCACCATCTTCTAAAGGGAAAAAAGTGACAATAATGAAGTGACATTTATTTTAAAATTGCTCTTCAAATAAGCCCAGGAAAAAATAAAAACGATTTTACAAAATTTCGTTTTTTTCCGAATATCTCCGGAAGTATTCGGAATCTTTCCAATTTCAAAACGGCTTCCTATTGATCATAAAATTGCGCAACTTTGCTATAACTTAACCGACCCTGTATCTCTTACGGTTTCCCATATGCCAATGATGAGGCTCGAATTTGGGCCACCTTGTACACCAAGTCATAGAGATATCCACATATCCATAAAGAGGAAGTGAAAAACCAGATATTTTCTATGTTGGATCAAGGAATTATCAGTAGAAGCCAGTCACCTTGGTTTTCTCAGATATGGATAGTTAAAAAAAAAAAACCAGACACCTCCGGAAAAATAAAAATGGCGGATAGTAGTGGACTATAGGAAAATAAACGAGAAAACTATCGACAATAAATACCATAACAGATATCTGGGACAAACTTGGTAGATGCCAGTACTTCACGACCTTGGCTCTGGTAAGTGGTTTTTACCAAATCGAAATGGCTAAGGAGGATATATGCAAAACTACTTTCAATGTCGAAAATGGCCATTGCGAGTATGTCCGGATGCCGTTTGGCCTAAAAACCGCTCCAGCTACATTCCAGAGGGTAATGGATAATGTTTTGAAAGGCCTCCAAAGAGAAAATTACTTAGTGTATATGGACGATATCATTGTGTTCAGCACATCGCTTTAAGAGCTTTATCTTTCAACGTCTTAGAGAAACTGGATTCAAAATTCAAATGGACAAATGCGGGTTCCTAAAAAAAGGAAGTTGCCTTTCTTGGACATATTGTTACACCAAAAGGAATAAGACCAAATCCGGCTGAAATTAAAACCATACTTGACTATCTAATACCGTAAATAAAGAATACCACGAAGGAAATCCGAGGATTTCTAGGCCTACTAGGATATTATAGGAACTTTATCAAAGACTTCGCTAAGATTACTAAACCTAAACCTCTAACTTCCTGCTTCGAAAAGGACGCTAAAATAGAACTGACACCAAAATTTTTGAACTGTATTAGAACTTGCAAAAAGGACCCCGCACAAACCTCATGGGAAGGGTCTTTCTGTCGAAGTCGAATTGGCTTAAAATAAGGTAACAGGCAGGGAATTTGATTTAGATTAAAATGTTCAGGGGCACAAAGTCCAGCTATGGCTAGATTCCGAGATATTTGGGGTCAAAGTCAATATATGATCATTTACAAATAATAATATTATGACATTTTGACTCTGATTTGACGTAGTAATTGATTTACCATGTATAAAAATAGGTTGCCAAGAAATATATACAGGGCCCGGATTCCGAATCCACGATTCGATAGTATCGTTTATCGTCCAGCTACCTACATACTTTTGCACGGCTTGACAATATACCATACTATCAGAGGGCCGTGTAGCTAGAGTCAAATTTGTGATAGGGCATGACAAATTTGACATAGGGGACTACTTGCCCCTCTCCCCCCGGCCCCTACAAGAGCCGGGAATAATAAAATATTAATCACTCTGTATCTTTATATAGTGGCTTATTTTTGTTGAGTCAAATTACAATGGGTAAAATTGTTTCCTATTACTGGATTTCATGACAGACTTTCTATATTATTAGGAGACGGAGATAATAAAATATTGATCACCCCGTATCTTTACACAGCGGTGGAAATATTTTCAATTACCAGCTTTCGTGGAAATTTCCTACAAGAGCCGGAAATAATGAAATATCGATCATTTTGTATCTTTATACAGTGGCTTATTTTATTTTTTTTGTTGAGTCAAATTACAGTCGGTAAAATTGTTTTCTATTACCGAGTCTCGTGGAAGTTTTTCTACATTAAGAGCCAGGGATAATCAAATATTGATCACTGTGTATCTTTACACAGTGGTACATTGTTTTTGATTAGCAGCTTTTTTGAAAGATTTGCTACAAGAGCCGGGAATAATAAAATATTGATCACCCTGTATCTTTATACAGTGGCTTATTTTTGTTGAGTCAAATTACAGTGGGTAAAACTGTTTTCTATTACCGGCTCTCGTCAAAAAATTTCTACATTAAGTGAGAGCTGGGGATGGGGATAATAAAATATTGGTCAATCTGTATCTTTATACAGTGGCTTATTTTTGTTGAATCAAATTACAGTGGGTGAAATTGTTTTCTATTACCGGCTCTCGTCAAAAATTTTCTACATTAAGTGAGAGCTGGGGATAATAAAATATTGGTCACTCTGTATCTTTATACAGTGGCTTATTTTTGTTGAGTCAATGTACAGTGGGTAAAATTGTTTTCTATCACCGGCTCTCGTGAAAGATTTCCACATTAAGAGCCGGGGTTAATAAAATATTGATTACCCCGTGTCTCTACACAGTGGTGGATTTGTTTTCGATCACCAGCTTTCATGGAAGATTTCCTACAAGAGCCAGGAATAATAAAATATTGATCACTCTGTATCTTTTTACAGTGGATTGTGGATTATTTTTGTTGAGTCCAATTACAATAATGGGTGAAATTGTTTCCTATTACCTGCTCTTGTGAAAGATTTTCTATATACATTAACAGCCGGGGATAATTAAATATTGATCACTCTGTATTTTCACACAGTCGTATTGTTTTTGGTTACCAGCTATCGTGGAAGATTTCCTACAAGAGCCGGGAAGAATGAAATATTGATCACTGTGTATCTTCATACAGTAGCTCATTTTTGTTGAGTCAAATTACAGTGGGTAAAATTCTTTTCTATTACCGGCTCTCGTGAAACGTTTTCTACATCGAGAGCCGGGGATAATAAAATATTGATTACCTCTTATCTCTATACAGTGGTTGAATTGTTTTCGATTACCAGTTTTCGTGAAAGATTTCCTACAAAAACCGGGAATAATAAAATATTGATATTAGACCTAAAATAATGGATTCTCCTGTTGTTCCCGAAGATGATCTATTGCAACTGTAAGGGTGGGTGCAATTGGTGCGAAAAATCTTGTACTTGCAAAAAATGGAACATCTTTTGATCAAATTTGAGTGGTCAATGTAATGGAATCTCCTGTCAAAATATTATTAGTAATATCTTGACGAAACGAATGGGTGATTCAGATTTTGAAGTATAAAAATTGCTGTAATTTTACAGTTTTTTGTTTCTCTTGACTTTTTCGTAATTTATATCGTTTTCAAGTTTTGTGTTCAAAAAATTTCAATACCAAAAATGCAAGGTCGCGGGCTAGTCTTCGAAGAGTTATATCCTGGAACCAAGAACTTTTCTTAGGTATCGAACATTTGAGCTAATCTGAAATTTTTGAAGGCACTATAGGAATGTGTCAATATATTTAGTTCTCTTGAACTTTTTTCAAATTCCTATTTTTTTCCAAGATATCAAAGAAAACTAGGAAAAAGTGTGAAAAATCAAGATGGCAGACCAGATTTGAGGATGTTCCACCAAGCACAGCAATAGGGACTTTTAGTATGCTTATAGGGAACCTAAAAGCTATCGAATAATAGTGGTGGCAGCTTTAAGCTAATTTGTTTACCCCTGACCCCTAATTGCTCTGGACTAAACACACATATTTTCTTGGGGCATATGTGTTATTTTTCAACACAAATATCAATCCTACAGTCTAATGATAATCGGTGGATATCATTGTGCCGATTATAATATATAAGGATAAGACAAGGTTTGGTACCAGAAGATACACAATTATTGCATACCCTAGAATCTGGGGTAAGCTCAGCTGGTGGTCTACGATTTTCATCGCGTCTTGTTACTGCAATATCCCGTAGAAGAGCCTTATCATCGCAAGCAAATAACGCTGTTATGCGTGGTATCTAAAGATTGTCGCCGACATAACACGGTATTCTTTTGCTGAGCGCCATTATACACGAACAAAAGATATGTTGTTAGGGAATGTTAATAAGTTTTTTCATACGGTATCCGCCAAAATAAACACCGAAATCTAGAGCTCTGAGTAATTGCGCACGCAAGTTGCATTTATCATATTTCGCTTACTTGGCATTAGTTATGAAGTGTAGTTAATCACTGTTTTAAAGCTATTATGCAAACTGTATATTTCTTGTCATCCTATTTTCATATATGCTAAACCTCTGAGTGCTAAACCCACCAATTATTACTTCATCAAAATGTGTCATAATATTAAAAATGTTATATTGGTCACTTTGAACTCAAATATCTCGGAATCTAGCCATAGCCAGACTCTGTACCCATGAACACTTGTAATCTAATTCAAATTCTCTCTACCTGATTCCCTATTTTGAGCCAATTCGACAGAAAAGAAACTTTTTTAAAAATTCTGCATCAAATGCAACTTTCTCCTAGAAGACGTCAATAGCAAAGAAAGACAAAGTGAAATAATCCAGGCCTTCCATCAAGAAAACACAAATCATCGAGGAATTAACGAAACCGAAGCGCAAATCCGAAGGAAATATTACTGGTCTAACCTCAAACGAGATATTGAAATATCATAAATGTTTGCGACACCTGTCAGTGAAACAAATACGATAGGAATCTAGCCTAACATAAATTCATGATTACTCCAACACCAACTAGACTTGTGGAATTGTTCATCTAGATACCTTTCAAGCCGTAGGACAAAAGTTTTTAACAATTATTGATTCCTTCTCAAGATATTGTCAAATCTACCCCATAGAGAGATCAAATTCAGTCAATGTTCTTAATGCCCTCCTAATCTTCATAATTCATCCTGGAATACCACACATAATACTCACCGATAGTGGAACAGAATTTAAGAATGGACTTATACAGGAATTTGCAGATACACATAAAATATCCATTCATTCATTATACTATATAGGTACCCCTAATAACCCACAATCCAACGAGATAATAGAAAGATTCCACTTTATCATTATCGAACACCTGAGGATACTTCGAGGAAATAAAAAATCCTTGAGCTTTAAAGAACAAATTACAAATATTTATACCCAGCAACGCATAAAAAATCCAAAAAAAGTACACAGGAAAAAGGAAAATAATCAGGCAAACCCCCCTCACCTACAAACCTAGTACGAAGATCTACACCAGGAAAACTGTAAAGCGGAACAAACTACTTCCAAAATTCTCTCCAAAAACAGTTAACACTGACAATATTGTGACCATTGACACTCAAAACACGACAATACATAAAGAGAATATTAAAAATCTTCCAGGAAATAACTCTAAAAATTCCTTACAGATATTCCTGAGCCCTCGCTCAGAGCCTCCTGATCCAGGACCTGAATACTCTTCTCAGTAATTAAGGAACTTCAATTTCTGGAAGAACAATACGAATCTATTAAAACAGCAATAGAAAATGGACTGAGTCGCCCATACTTTAAAAGCCTGCAAAATTTTGATCAAAGTTTACAGTTTCTGATGATGGATACTTCTCAAACCACACCATGGTCTTCATTCTGCATTTTACCATTCTGTCATCAGAATTTTCACATATTTCCATCTTTTCTCAATACCCACTACGAATCATGCCACCATAATTCCTCCTGCTCCCTATTTGGCTCTGAGCGAAAATTTATTTCAATACATGGATGTTCCATGCCGTAAAATTGATTCCTAATACCTATGTCACGAAGGATTCTTACAAGATAACAGCCAGGATTGTATAAGCCAAATACTTCAATAACTAAGCAACAGCGAATCAACTTGCTGGTAAATACCTGTGTCAATCAACACCAAGTTAATACAAGATCTATCCGATGCTCATTATATATCCATAGTCCCTAGGCCTACGAAAGTATCAACTCGTTGCCGAACAACCAAGATAATGGTCTTCAAAGGAGTAGGTATTCTTAATCAGTTTACCACCAGGAAGCGAATTCACAACTTCCAGTGAAAACTTCTTGAATGAGAAAACCATAATCTAAGAAGAACCATTAATACTTCCCAGAATACACACAAAAAACGATGATCGGCAACCTCAAGTAAAGCTTCTGAAACTATCCCTTCACAATTAAATGTTAGAATTAAGTGTTTTCTCGTAATAAATAGTAATTTTTATTAAAGGGCTTTTTGAAAACACCCTACACCATTTTCCAAGGAAAATCCCTAATTCTTTCAACATTGTTTCCACTTTTTTTTTTCAAAATCGTTGCGGTTTTGCAATTTGGGGGTTGAAAATATATGAAAAAATTATCTTTATGTTATGTTTTTGCCGACCCTGTTCGAAGAATCTATGGAAAAGTTTGGATTGACATGACAATATAATAATATTGGTAGGAAATCAATAGCACCTCATCAATGATGTATAAAAGCCTTACACTGGTCAGTAAAAAGACACTAGTATTGAAACAGTAAGAAAAGAACGATGCTGAAGTGACTGTTTCGATTAATTGAGTTTGGTTCGGTAATTTAAGTATAAATTTCATTCATTGAATGCCACTCTAAAAGCCTCTATAAACTAAAAAAATTACCTCATGGCCATGCAAATCATTTCAACTAAAAGCTCTTTTTGCCTCTACAGTATAGCGATTCAAGCTTTCGGCGATACGTTGCTCCGGTTTCTCGGCAAAATAACCGATTCTCCTTTGTGATTAACAATCACGGTGATTTCCGTAGGATTTTGCGATACCCTTGCACCATTCACCGGAAAATTATTTACCGAGTCGACTTCGGTAGGCGATTCTTCGCTGAGCTCCAAAAGCGGCTGATTCACCAACGACTCTTTCCTCTGGCTCAGCAACGACTCTTTGGGCGGATTCAGATAATCACTATTAGCGTATTTGTAGTGATGCACCGACGCCACAGAAGACTCGAATTTGCGCTGCGATTGGTTGACGGATAACAAAGATTCTTTGGTAGCAATAGCAGGTTGAGACAGGCGCTTGGCTTCGTAGTCTTCCAAATCTTCGGCGCCCACCAAGGTCCACTCGGTGATTCTGCGCGTGCGCGGCACATCGAACATGCAACAACATGCATAAATTAGAATATTTAGCGTCTGATCCAAAATAACTATGATGAAAATGAAATTCTTCACCAACATGCTAAAAGCTTCACTAATATTAAAGCTACGATGATGATTTATTCTATCTAAGGAAATTTTTTTTGGAGTCATTTCTATGGATACATACCTTAGGCTCTCGGTTCTGGATCTGGGCGACCAATCTTTACTCCGGCTGCTCGATCTCAGGCGGCTGGGTCCCAGAGATTTTTTGGTTTTCCAGTTTTCGAAGTGGTGTTTTAATGTGTTTTGCACTTCGGTGTTCAGGAAACAGTAGAAGAGGGCCACCATGAAACCCTGAAACAAAAATGTAAGTTTATAAGTGATAGTTTTTGGTCAAAAAACTATACAGTGGCGTAGCCAGACATTTTGTCTGAAGGGGGCCATAGAAATATACCACTAGCTTTAGGATTTTTATAATATGAGCAGTTTAAAGATTTTGTCTAGTTCATTATTGCAATGGTCGAATCTTTGATTTTTTTTCTGGTAATCTAGGGAAAATGGGGGAACCAGATATTTTTTTATTTATTAATGAAGTCTTCAGCTTGAACATACTGAAATTTTATGGAAAAATAGCCCAGAATAATGGAGCTATGATTTTTATAATTCGATTATAAACACACTTAGTGATATTTCTACCTCAAAGTCTAATTTTTGATTTTTTTTTTTCTAAAAATCCGGGAAACCTGGAGAAAGCAGATATTTTTTATTCAACAAAGAAACTTTCAGATTCAACATGCTCAAATTTAATGGAAAAATAGCCTACCATAACAGAGCTATGATTTTTACAATCTGATAAACACACTTAGTAATATTTCTACCTTAGAGTCAATGGTCTAATTTTAAATTTTTTTTCTGGTAATAAGGGAAACCTAGGGGAACCAGATATTTTTTTATTTATAGAGGAAGCTTTTAGCTTCAACATACTAAAATTCTACGGAAAAATAACTTAACATAACGGCGCTATGATTTTTTTAATCCGATAAACACACTTAGTGACATTTCTGCCTTAGAGTCAATAGTCTACATATTTGATTTTTTTTATGGAAATCTGGGAAACCTTGAGGAACCAAATATTTTTTTATTTATTGAAGAGTCTTTCAGCTTCAACATACTAACATTTTATGTAGAAAAAGCCCAGGATGATAGCGCTATAATTTTTACAATCCGATAAACACACTTAATGATATTTCTGCCTGAGTCAATGGTCTAATTTTTGATTTTTTTTCTGAAAATCTGGGAAACCTGGAGGAACCAAATATTTTTTTATTCAATAAAAAAGCTTCCAGCTTCAACATACTAAAATTTTATGCGAAAATAACCCAGCATAACGGTTCTATGATTTTTACAATCCGATAAACACACTTAGTGATATATCTGCCTTAGAGTCAATAGTGTAATTTTTGATTTTTTTTTCTGGGAATCTGGGAAACCTGGAGGAACCAGATATTTTTTTATTTATTAAGGAAGCTTTAAGCTTCAACATACTGAAATTTTATGGGAAAATAACCCAACATAACGAAGCTATGATTTTTACAATCCGATAAACACACTGAGTGATATTACTACCTTAGAGTTAATGGTCTAATTTCTGATTTTTTTTCTGGAAATCTGGAAAACTTGGAGAAAGCAGGTATTTTTTTATTCAATAAAGAAGCTTTCAGCTTCAACATACTGAAATTTTATGAAAAAATAGCTCAAAATAACGAAGCTATGATTTTTACAATTCGATAGAACACACTTAGTGATATTTCTGCCTTAGAGTTAATGGTCTAATTTTTGATTTTTTTTTCTGGTAATCTGGGAAACCTGGAGGAACCAGATATTTTTCCGTTTATCAAGGAAGCTTTCAGCTTCAACATACTCAAATTTTATAGAAAAATAGTCCAGGATAACGGAGCTATGATTTTTACAATCCGATAAACCACATATAGTGATATTTCTGCCTGAGTCAATGGTGAAAACTATAGTTGAGAGAGTCGATACTTGTCGATCTTCGACTTTTAAGCTACGTCTATCCAACAAACAAGTTCAGCAAAGATAGTCGGCTCTAGTCAAGGGTTCATCTTCAGGTTCAGAAACCTCCGTGATGCTTCCTTGTAATTAATTCCCCAATTCCTTCAAGATTTATATTGAAAAATTACACACAATTCATTTTTATCAATACAACCTCCAAGCAACGGGCAGCATTTCTGATTTTCCTGAAAGGTAACATTATGAACGATATCTCCTTCCCATATAAATACGATAGTTATCTGGAACTATGTTACTTTCTACCGAGAGGTGGTTAACTGGTCAAAATCCGTGTACAAATTAGTCAAAATCCCAAAATATCTAATAAGATTTACTCAAAATCCCTAAAAATCTTTGAAATCCTTGAAAATTTAACAAAACCTCTTGAAATTGCATAAAATCCTGCAAAATGTAACAAAATTTCATTTAAAACCAAAAAAATGCTGCAAAATATCATAAAATCATTAACATTCCTAAAAAAATATTTCCTTGGAATCCTCAAAAATCTGTTAAAGTTTCTTAGAATTCCATGTTTAGTGGAATTCCGAGGAATTTCGGTAGAATTATGTTATTCTGAAAAAAGAATTACATGTGAAATTTTTGCGGAGTTTCCATAAAATTCACGTTAAATTTTAGTGCCTCTCGAATTACATGATATTTCAGTGAAATTCCGATCAAATTACACGAAATCCTAAATGAATTGCATGGAGGAATTCTAAACAATTACCTATATGAAATTACACCGAAATCCCCCAACATGAAATTTCAGTTATTACTGAATTTCAATAAAATTCCATAAGTGGAATGCCGAGGAATTTCCGGCTAAAAACATTGAATTTCGGTGATATTCCAAAAAAATTCCCATGTAATGACATGAAATTTCAATATATTCCGGTGAATTTTGAAGAAATTTCTCGAAGTTTCATTAATATTCCCAGAAATTCCTGGCTATTGAAAGAGAATTTCAGTAAAATTTCGAAAAATTCTTATGAAAATAAATGAAATTTTGAAAAATTCCTCGAAGTTTCATTGGACTTTCGACTATGAACGTGGAATTTTAAAATACTCGCATTCCGAGGAATTTTTAAGAAATTACATGAAATGTCAATGAAATTCCGAAGAATTTTATGAAAATTTTGTGGAATTCCAGGATATTTCAGTGGTGAAATTTTGGGGAATTTCAGTAAAGTGATGGAATTATGGAATTTTGAAATTGAAATTTTAGTGGATGTCCGAGGAGTTTTTGTTCAAGAATTCCATTAAATTTTATGGTGGAATTCCATAGAATTTTATGATGAAATTTGGAAAAGTATTATGAAATCTTATAGTAAAATTTCTAGGAATTTGCGTTTTTCAATCCATTCAAATTTATCACTTGAATGGAATTTCGAGGAATTTCGAAGAATTTCATGAAATCTTATATTGTAATTCCGAAGAAAAAAAGTTCCAAAAATTCCATTCAATTTTATGGTGTGAAATTTTTGCGCAGTTTCCTTAGAATTCACATTAAATTTTAGTTCCTCTCGAATTACATGAAATTTCGAGAAATTACATGAAATTTCAGTGGAATTTCGATCGAATTACATGAAATCCTGAATGAGTTACATGGAGGAATTCTAAACAATTACATGGAATTACATCGAAATTCCCAACATGATATTTCAGTGCTCGTTTTAAATTACATAAAGAATTTTAAAAAAGTTTCAAAAAATTACATGAATTCCGAGGAATTTTCGTCGAATTATATGGAGCCCCGATGTAATTGCATGGAATTGTCAGGGAATTACGTGAAATTTAAGTGGAATTTTGAACAACTCTTATCGTTTCATAGGGAATTTCAGTGAAATTACGAAAAATCCTAATGTAATTACATGAAGTTTAATTTTTATTTCAAGGAATTCCCAGTTGAAAACATGGCATTTTAGTGAAATTGAAATTCCGAAAAATTCCTATCAAATTACTGAATTTTATTAAAATTAGAGAAAATTTCACAAGTGGAATTTCCTCGGGAATTTCCGGCTAAAAGCTTGGAATTTCGGTGAAATTTGGAAAAATTTCCATATAATGATATGAAATTTCAATATATTTCGGAGGCATGTCAGTGAAATTCCGAAAAATTTTATGAAAATTTTGTGGAATTCCAGGATATTTCAGTGGTGAAGTTTTCAGGAATTTCAGTAGATAAAGTTCTAATAAAATTATGGAATTTGAAATCTCTTTAAAATTTTGGAGAATTTCAGTGGTATTTCGAAAAAAATAAATAAAAATATATGAAATATTTGCAGAATTACCATCAAATTATATATAATTTCACTTTGTGTCGACTTAGATAAAATTGCGATGAAAGGTCGAGTAAAATTCCAAGGAATTCTCGTCGAATTACATACCTACATGGAATTCCTTGAAATCTTATTGTGGAATTCCAGTGAAATTACATCGAATCCGAAGAATTCCCTTGGAATTAAACAGAATTTCCGTGAAATTTCCATGGAACCATGAGAAATTTCGGCGGAATTACGAAGAATTGAATTAAATTTTAGTGAAATTCTGAGTAATTTCTGTCGAATTACATAAAATTTTAGTGGGTGGAATTCCATGGAATCTTATGGTGAAATTCGGAAAAGTATTATGAAATCTTATGGTAAAATTTCTAGGACTTTCTTTTTTTTGATATTCAAATTTGCCAATTGAATTGAATTTCGAGGAATTCCATAAAATCTTCTAGTGAAATTTTAAGGAATTTCTATGGAATTAACAAAAATTTTCGCAGAATTCCCATGGAATAACTTAAAATTTTAGTGGAATTCCGAAGAATTTCATGAAATCTCATAAGTAATGTAATTCCGAGGAATTTTTGTTCAAGAATTCCATTTATGGTGGAATTCCATAGAATCATATGGTGAAATTCGGAAAAGTATTATGAAATCTTATAGTAAAATGTTTAAGAATTTCCGTTTTTCCATTCAAATTTGTCATTCGAATTAAGAATCTTTAAAAACTTTTCAAAAACCCCTAAAATGCTTCAGAATCACCCAAAAATCTAAAATCTTCTGAACTCTTGTAAAATCGTGTAAAGATTTTGAAAGTTCCCAAAATCCTACAAAATAAATTAAGATTTCAAATATGAGTTTATTATTTTATAGAGTTAACTAAACTTCGGAGCGGTTGATTGGTCAAAATCTGTGTACAAGTCCAGAAAAACTTGTAACCTCACAAAATCCCTTAAAAATCACTTGAAATCGCATAAAATTTCACAAAATCACACAAAATTTCCCAAAATTTCAAAAAATCCTTTAGGATCTCCAATGGCCGTTTTCACCTACTATTTTAGGGGAGCTTCAACAATAAGTATTCCTTAAAATGACAGTCTTCTATGGTGAAATGTCAGTTAAAAAAATACTTATCGTTAAGGCTTCCTTAAATTAGTTGGTAAAAACGCCATAAAAACCCTTTCTAAATTTCCTAAAATGATCCAAAATCACCTAAAATCTCATAAATCTAAAATCTTTTAAAATCCTGTAAAATCACGTGAAGATTTTCAAAATCCTCAAAGTCCTACAAAATCAATAAAGATTTAATTATGTTCACCAAAAATCCGTTAACATCTCCCTTCTAACTTCCTTAAAATGCTCCAAAATCACCTTAAATCTTTTAAAAACCTGTAAAATCATGTGAAGATTTTCAAAATCCTCAAAATCCTACAAAATCAATAAAGATTTGAAATCTGTGTACATATTTTAAGGAGTTAACCACCTCTCGCTTTCTACTGACTACTATAGACTTCTCATCAGGTTTGCAGCAAGGTTCACAAAATCCATTGGTCGAATCAACCAAAATTTCTCCATCTGGACAACTGGTTGCATTAATACATTTCACTTTGCTACAGTAAAATTGAATCTGCAAGCCAAATGTAGCCCACTATCAATCATCGTGCGTGACTGTATATAAGCTTTTGAAGGTTACACCATATTTGGTAGTAGCTAAAGATAATTTTTTTAATGTATTTGAGTAACCACTAAATCAATATATGTTAATTTATGTTTATATGGACAAAAAAATAAATGTTACGTGCTAATTGTTAGGTACATTAGTGCGGTTTATCAAAAATTATAAAGGTAACGCCTTTGGAAGTCACAATTAGTGTCTGGAAACATGCAAAAAGTGTTGTTTGTTGCGCTAACAGCCCTTGCAGGGTGTTTCTGTTGGGAGGAAGAACTTGAAAAGGCAATTCTTCCTAGTCGTCCTCCATTTACATGCCTTATAGTTTGTCCAAAATGTCCGCCTATAACTTGTCCTGAAGGCACCAAAGCTGGATATTCTGCCTTTTGCCAGTGTTGTCCTACTTGTGTAATTCGTAAGTAACTTTTTTTTAAAAATATTTTGTATTTTAATACGGTTGATTTACAGCCGAAGGAGACCATTGTCCTTGGACAGGCCCTGAACCACCCTCTGGAAATGTCCGATGTGAAGTTTACACAGAATGTTGCGAAGGAGTTTGCTCTGGGGGGAATTGTGTAACTGAGTCTACTTCAGAGTCTACTGAGGCTACTGAGTCTTCAACCACAGATTCATCAACGACGACAGATTCAGAAAAAATTAGTTGATTTTTTAATAAAGTCTGCTTAAGTATAAATGTTGTTGTTTGTTTTCCCCCTTAAATTTACTACTTGCATCTTAGGCTCAAAGCTGAAAACTAAAATAACCACAACAGAAATAGGATTAAGTGTCAGAACTAGAAATTAAAAAAATACTAGAGAGATTCAGTTTATGAAAATATTGGACTCTTAACTAGAATATAAAAATTATTAGCCCAACTTCATGAGATTTCGAACTCACAAAATCTGAATGGAAAAAGCTCAAAAGACTGAATTTTATGTAAAAATTTTGTCTCTGGGGGATAGAAGTTTCGAACTGGAAAGATTCAGTTTCGTAAATTAATTCGAACCAGAAACTACTATAGCATATATAGACATCTCGAGACGAGACCGTGATTTAGCCTCGGTCTCGAGTACCAAAGTCTCGTCTCGTCTCGAGTGGTCTCGTCTGGTCTCGAGTTATACAGGGTGTCCAAAAAATAGCGTAAAAACTCTTCTCTACGTGGTGGAGGACCCTACAAGGAACCCCAGAAAAATACTTTAAAAAATCTAGTGGCATTCTTAAGAAAGTAATTTGCATTTTAATATTTATTACAATTGGCAACACAGAAAATATCCCATTGACAATATGTCAGAGAATTAAATTAAATACCTATGTAACTACCTGATGAAGAATTCGAAGGTGAATTTTCACATCTATCTCTTCATATTACCAAGAATAATGCTGGAGACGGATTTTTTCAATTTAATAACTTTTCTAGGGTTTCTCAAAGGGTCCTCTACTAAGTGGAGAGTTTTTACGCTATTTTTCGGTCCAAACTGCCACAGTGAAAAAGCAATTACTGAAAATTCACAGTAAAGAGTAACTCTGATATTTAATTTACTGATTTCATATTCAAATAACCTAGAATAGTCCAATAATAAAGCTATGAAAGAAAAATTTTAAGTGTAATCTCGAGACTCGAGACTACACGAGACTCTCGCCAAGTCTGGTCTCGTCTCGTCGAGACTTCACGAGACGAGACCAAAAGCCAGTTTCGTCTCGAAAAGTCGAGACGAGACGAGACTAGTCTCGAGTCTCCCGGCATCACTAGAAAAATGGACAAGCAGAAAACCAGATCTATAAAATTTGCAAGTGTTTCGAGCCACAGCTTATACTAAAATCTTGGAACACATTAAAAAGGTTGGTGCAAGAGTCAAAAATTCACATTTGTAGTTTATGCGTTTATTGCGGTTATCGTTTATGGGACGAAAAAACAGGAAATATTAAAATATACAGGGATGTGATTTTTCAAGATCCAAAGGAGAAAATCGAAGAACAAAAAGTAAGGATAGAATCTATAGAAAAAGAAGAACAAGAAATTGTAATAGAAGATTCCTCAGAATAGCCAGCAGAAGAAGAAGAAAACGAGACAGTTTTACCATTGGGAGAAGACCAAGAAGAACAAACAGAAGAAAGACAAAATAAAGAAAAACAAACCAGAAGTAGAAGTAAAAATAAAAACGCCAAAGAAATTATTAGACTACAATCTTGACTATGACGCTGATTATGGAGAATATGTAATGATAAGTTATGAAGAAATTCTAAATAGTACAGATAAAGACAAATGGAAGGAAGCAATTGAAGAAGAAAAGAAATCATTACAAAAGAACCACACTTGGACATTAGTAGACAGAAACGAAACAGAAAACAGAAAATTACTAACAAGCAAATGGGTATTTCGAATTAAGGATGATGGAAAGTACAAAGCAAGGCATGTAGTGAGAGGTTTCCAGCAACAATATGGAATTGACTACAAGGACACATTTAGTCCTGTACGCAACATGAGTTCTATAAGAATACTTTTGGCTTTATCACTGAAAAATGAATTGAAGATCTCAAAATCTGACATAAAAACGGCATTTTTATATGGCAATCTTGAAGAGGAGATTTTCATGGAAGTACCAGATTTTTACGAGGAGTAAGAAAATAAAAATTTGCTTACTGAACCAGGCACTCTATGGATTAAAACAAGTATCATTGCGATGGAATGAAAAGTTTAGTACTTTTTTGAGAGACAGTGGTTTAATATCTCTAAAAAGTGAACAATGTTTATTCAAAAATGAGTCAAATACTTTATTTTTGGCCTTAAATGTAGATGATGGTATTTTGGTAAGAAGTGATGAGAAAGAAACAGAAAAATTATTGGAAAATCTAGAAGAAGAATTTGAGTTTACAATCACTAAAAATGCTACATCATTTTTGGGTATAGAGATAAACAAGGAAGAGAATCATATTGGACTCAAACAGACGAAGACCTGTAAAAATATTTCTAACAATTTCTATTGCCAACGAAAGCTCAGACCAATCAGTGTAGTTCAACGCCGGTAGGGGTATTTGCCCTCGGAGTAGTTGTTTCTGATTGGTCAACGAAGTTCAATTGGCAGTTTACTGTATTAAACTGATAAAACCAGACCAGATTTGTCATTTTTAGTAAACTATTGCAGCAGGAGAATGGAAAATCCTACAGACCAAGATGTGACAAATCTACCTAAAGAAAATAATTTATTATTAAATAAATTATCTATCATCGACACAGCAAGAAGGAATTTGTTATAGAAAAGAAAGCAGTGAAGACAGATTGATTACTTATAGTGACTCGGATTTTGCAGGAGATACCTATTTCAACTCGCAAAAGTACCATAGGGTATGTAATAATGTTTTGTGGAGGTTTAATCAGCTGGTGTACAAGGAGGCAGCCTATAGTTTCTCTTTCAACCACTGAGGCAGAATATATATTGCTGCAGACACCCTGTACATAGGAATCTGTATGATTATTCAAAAACTGTACATAGGATTGAATTCAAACTAACATGGAAAATTTGAGGGGGTAGTCAGAAACAGGAAAATACGAGTGGCGTAGGTAGGTAATTTATTATTTCAAATGGAAACTATTCTTTTAAATTGTCATTACATGAATAAATAAGTGAAGCTTCAACTGATAAAGGGCAATAATTTTTTAATGTATTGAGTAAACTGCAAAAAAATAAGTGAATAATATATGTGATAAGAGAAATCAAGTAGATAAACACTTTCCTACGTAATGCAATAATGCATTAGCCATAATCGAAAAATTAAAAAATTAGGTATAATTGCAAAAAAATTATATAAATAGGAAAAAAAATATCGCAAATGGTAACTAGTGCCTGAAATCATGCAGAAAGTTCACTTTCTGTTGCTTGTTGTTCTAACAACCGTTGCTGTGTGTTCTGGAGGACAGGTTTCCAAAGCAGAAGCCAGTATATGTAAAGAAGAGGATTGTAAACCATGTACTCCATCCATAGAATGTCCTGAAGGCACAGAAGAAGGATACGCTTTTCCTTGCCAGTGTTGTCCATCTTGTGTAATTCGTAAGTAACTTTCATTATAAACAAAATTGCAATTATAAATTTTGGTTGTTTTATAGGCGAAGGAGGAAAATGTCCATGGATGGGCGAGGAGCCAGACTCAGGAGAAGTTGAATGCGAAGTTGATACAAATTGTTGTAATGACGTTTGCTCGAGGGAAGAGTGCGAAACTGACACTACGACCGAATCATCTACAACGACAGATGCAGAATAATGTATCTAGCTTAAAAACGGTTGAGGTTGTTATTTGGGGTTTGTTGATTCTTGAATAAAGACTTGTTTTGGTGAAATTTTGTTATTTGCTTCACATAATCTTAACTTTTTACTTTCTCTATCCACAGGAAAAATTTCAGTCTAACACATTGAACACATCTGTAACATTTGCGTAAAGTTTATATACATTTGAGATTTTTTTTAAATTTGAATCAGCCTCATGTCAAGTTTATGCAAATACCATGTGAATTTGAAGTTTGTAAGTGTTTATTGAAATTTGAGTTATGAGCGATTTTGTGGATAGCAATGTCAGATGATTGTTACATAATACGATTTATGTAATCAATGTGAAGCATGATATTATACGTTACATTTAAGCTAAATTTCACCTTATTGCGACTTGAAAAAAACTTAGGAATTATATGATAAAGTAAAGTAATTAAGTACGTGTACCTCAACTTCTGGGGTATTGAAAGTCAACTTTGTCCTTCATTTTAGTTTTTCCAGCTCCAAACTTCTATCCCATAGAATCACAAACTAGACCTTTTTAATTCCTAATTCTAACACTAAAACCTATTTTTGTTAGATTTTGTGGTTATCTTAATTTCCAGCTCTAAGTCTGAAATGCAAGTAAGTAATAAATCTAATAGGGAAAAAAACAGCTACATAGTAAAGCAGGCTTTATTAAAAAAATCTACTAATTTATTCTGAATCTGTCGTCGTTGATGAATCTGTGGTTGAAGACTCAGTAGCCTCAGTAGACTCTGAAGTAGACTCAGTCACACAATCCCCCCTAGAGCAAACTCCCTCGCAACATTCTGTGTAAACTTCACATTCAACATTTCCAGAATCTGGTTCTTCGCCCATCCAAGGACAATCTCCTCCTTCAGCTGTTTAAATCAAGCAATGTTTCATTACAAAAACTTCAATGTTAAAAGTTACTTACGAATTACACAAGTCGGACAACATTGGCAAATGGCAGAATAGTATCCGAGTTTGGTTCCTTCAGGACAAGTTATGGGTAGACACTTTTCTGGACAAGCTATAAGGCATATTATCGGAGGACGAGTTGTCTTTTCACTTTCTACTTCCCAACAGAAGCAAACTGCAAGGGTTGTTATCACAACAAATAACACTTTCTGCATCTTTTCAAGTACTTATTGTGACTTCCAAGGCGTTAGCTTATTTATAGTTTTTGATAAATGCATTCTACTTCAACCAAATAATTTATTAACACATAAAATTTATTTTTTGTTCATAAACATAAATTAACATAAGTATTAATTTACTGGTTACTCAAATACATTGAAAAACTTTAAATAAGGTATATAGATACAGGGTGATCAATATTTCATTATCCCTAGCTCTTATTGTAGAAAATCTTTCACGAGAGCCGGCAATAGTGAACAATTCTACCCACTGTAATTTGATTCAACAAAAATAAGCCACTGTATGAAGATACAGAGTGATCAATATTTTATTATTTTCGGATCTTGTAGAAAATCTTCCCCGAAAGCTGGTAATTGAAAACAAGTCCACCACTGTGTAGAGATACAGGGTGATCAATATTTTAATATCCCCGGATCTTAAGGTAGGAAATCTTTCACGTCAGCCGGTGATAAAAAACAATTTTACCCACTGTAATTTGTGATCAATATTTCATTATTCCCGGATCTTGTAGGAAATTTTCCACGGAAGCTAGTAATCGAAAACAAGTCCACCACTGTGTAAAGATACGGGGTGATCAATATTTCAATATCTCCGGATCTTAATGTAGGAAATCTTCCACGAGAGCCGGTGATAGAAAACAATTTTACCCACTGTAATTTGATTCAACAAAAATAAACCACTGTATAAAGATACAGAGTGATCAATATTTTATTATTCCTGGATCTTGTAGGAAATTTTCCACGAAAGTTGGTAATTGAAAACAAGTCCACCACTATTTAAAGATACGGAGTGATCCATATTTTAATATCCCTGGATCCTAATGTAGCAAATCTTTCACGAGAGCCGGTGATAGAAAACAATTTTACCCACTGTAATTTGATTCACCAAAAATAAGCCACTGTATAAAGATACAGAGTGATAAATATTTTATTATTCCCGGCTCTTGTAGGAAATCTTCCACGAAAGCTGCTAATCGAAAACAAGTCCGCCACTGTGTAAAGATACAGGGTGATCAATATTTTAGTATCCCCGGATCTTAATGTAGAAAATCTTACACGAGAGCCGGTAATAGAAACCAATTTTCCCCACTATAATTTGATTCAACAAAAATAAACCACTGTATAAAGATACAGAGTGATCAATATTTTATTATTCCTGGATCTTGTAGGAAATTTTCCACGAAAGTTGGTAATTGAAAACAAGTCCACCACTATTTAAAGATACGGAGTGATCCATATTTTAATATCCCTGGATCCTAATGTAGCAAATCTTTCACGAGAGCCGGTGATAGAAAACAATTTTACCCACTGTAATTTGATTCACCAAAAATAAGCCACTGTATAAAGATACAGAGTGATAAATATTTTATTATTCCCGGCTCTTGTAGGAAATCTTCCACGAAAGCTGCTAATCGAAAACAAGTCCGCCACTGTGTAAAGATACAGGGTGATCAATATTTTAGTATCCCCGGATCTTAATGTAGAAAATCTTACACGAGAGCCGGTAATAGAAACCAATTTTCCCCACTATAATTTGATTCAACAAAAATAAGCCACTGTATAAAAATACGGGGTGATCAATATTTTATGATTTCTGGCTCTTGTAGGAAATTTTCCACGAAAGTTGGTAATTGAAAACAAGTCCACCACTATTTAACGATACGGAGTGATCCATATTTTAATATCCCTGGATCTTAATGTAGGAAATATTTCACGAGAGTCGGTAATAGAAAACAATTTTATCCACTATAATTTGATTCAACAAAAATAAGCCACTGTATAAAGATACAGAGTGATCAATATTTTATGATTTCTGGCTCTTGTAGGAAATCTTCCACGAAAGCTGATAATCGAAAACAAGTCTACCACTGTGTAAAGATACGGGTTGATCAATATTTTAATATCCCCGGATCCTAATGTAGGAAATCTTTCACGAGAGCCGGTGATAGAAAACAATTTTACCCACTGTAATTTGATTCACCAAAAATAAGCCACTGTATAAAGATACAGAGTGATAAATATTTTATTATTCCCGGCTCTTGTAGGAAATCTTCCACGAAAGCTGCTAATCGAAAACAAGTCTGCCACTGTGTAAAGATACAGGGTGACCAATATTTTAGTATCCCCGGATCTTAATGTAGAAAATCTTACACGAGAGCCGGTAATAGAAACCAATTTTCCCCACTATAATTTGATTCAACAAAAATAAGCCACTGTATAAAAATACGGGGTGATCAATATTTTAATATCCCCGGCTCTTAATGTAGAAAACCTTTGACGCGAGCCGGTAACAGAAATAGTACATTACATACCGAGGTGGGAAATGTTTCATTACTGTTGAGAGATTAGTATTACAATTTCGAGATAGGAATGAAACTTCCTACCAAGGTTTGTGTACTATTTTATTTACAACAATTACAACCATCACAAATGCTAAATAAAAATTAAAAAATTTTGTTGACAAGTTCTGACTTATTTAAAAAAAAGTTTGACATGCAGGACTTGTGTTTAACAGTCGGTTTAACATTTCAGGAAATGAGAGCTTACTTTCCACCCGGGACCACTTTCCACCCGGGAGGAAAGTAAAATTCAAAAAAGTGTCACTTTCCAACTTTTGGAAAGTTAGAAATGTCAACATTACGTATGTGGGTTGTAAATAATAGTATATTACATACCGAGGTGGAAAGTGTTTCATTACTGTCGAGAGTAAAAGTCAATAAAGTGACATTTTCGAACTTTTTAAAAGTCAGTAAAGTCAACATTACATGTATGATTGTAAATAAAATAGTATACATACCTCGGTGAAAAGTTTTATCACTGTCTTGAGATTTTAGTTAGACCTCGGCTGCGCCTCGGTCTAACCAAAATCTTTCGACTGTAATGAAACACTTTCCACCTCGGTATGTAGGTAATATACTATTTCTTTATTGTCTTCTGTCAACAAAGCTAGTTTTCTTTCTTCGTCTCGCCCTCGTCCTTATCCTTGCCTGTTTTTTCTAAACTAACAATCTTTTTCTTCGTGGTTTTTCTTTTTGCAAATATTACACTGCACTGCCCTTGATCCCGAGAAACAATTTTTAGCATAATGCTCTGATTTTCCACACTTAAAACATTTTCCACTTTCAGATTCCTTCTTACAATACTTGACAATATGATTTTTACTTTTGCACTTGAAGCAAAATTTTTCTGTGCTTCTAAATGCTACAGCTCCTTCACTTTTTTTTTCTTTTTGACAACTTTCTTCTGACAAAAGTCGTGTTACCAAGTTTTGTCAATGTTCGTTCAGTTACAGCGGTGGATTCCCAAGCAGTGATGAAATGTTTGTAGTGCTCAGGCAAAGTTGAGAGAATTTTACTTATTACCATGAGTCTTCAATCTATGAGCTAAATTCTCAATTTCACTTATGTTGATTGACATATCACACCCTTTTTCATAACTAAAGTTATAAAACTGCTGTAATAAATTACATACTTGATCTTGTTTGTGTCACTTTTTTAAAGATATTTTTAAGTTTGTCATACATTTCACTGGAACTTGTAAAGTTGATAATGTGCATGATATATTTCTTGTCCACAGACATTAACTATCAGTTTTTGTGCTTTCGCATCTTTCTTTTTTCACGCATTTCTTTCCTCCTCACTTTTCATGTCTGAGAAAAGACTTTCTTTACTTACGATTTCATACAAAGAGTTTGCTTTCAACATTACTATTAACTAAAAATTCCATATTTGAAATGATTCCTCGTTTATTAACTTATCAATTTGTTGATATTCTTCAACCATTTTGAACACCATTGATGAGCACACCTCGATATTTTTACTGGTTTTTTTACTTCCAGGCAGATTTTACTTTTTTCCGATATCCTGGGCTGCCTGGGCCCATAACCTCTTCAGTTCTACTTTTATTTTCACTTCATTCCTCATCTCACAAAACATGTCATAACAACAACAGCCAACTGACTTAAAAGTCAAAATCAAAACTATCTTCTTTTACTTTACTTATGAACATTTAATAAAACTCGAATATTTTCGCGCTGGTATTTCACGTTGTACTTCTTCTCTCGGTTAATTCGACAACTCTTTCACGCCGTAGTTCTGACTTTCTGGACACAGGTTTCTCGATTCTCGATTACTACTTGTTTCTTAATTACTCAACCGACACTGGTTCTTCACGCCGTAGTTCTGTCGGTTTACTCGCTCTTTCTCGAACACTGATTTTCTCCTGCCAAAGTTGCCTTTTTATATCATTGGTCCCTCCATTGTTTTGAATTTTTTTTGTTTTTTCTGACCTCAATTTTTCGTGGTTGAATCATCCTATCAACTAGTGTACCTATTTGGTCCCCTTTTAATTAATTATCAAGGGCGTCGCTAAGTGGTTTATTAAGTGGGTGTCATCATATAGGCTCGTGCATGATTTATTGATCCTTCTAAGAATTCGGTTCCTTTGGAATGTTAATTGTTGAAAGCACTTAAAAACGCGTACTTTTTTCACATCCCAATGTAGGTCAATTATTTTGTTTAATTCCTATTGGCTGGTCATTCTTGAGAAGAAAGGTATCGGCTTTCAATAATTTCTGGATATCGATGTTCAGTTAAATTTCTATTGAAGTTTCTGGTTGTGCTGTTTGAGTGGTGGATGGGAAAATATCCCTTGTGGAGGGGCGATACAAACAACTATTCGATGTTGTTAGATTAGTCACAAATGCTTTGATTTTTGAAATTGAAACCTTTTTCCAATACCTTACTTTTAAAGGCGCTCAAAATAATATAATAATCTTTGAGTGTGAAATTTGAAAAGCTTGTAAGTGGAAGATGCCCCATTCAAAAAAAAAAAACAACAGTTTTTGCTAAAGCCAAACTTTATTCAAAAAGCAACTGATCAAAACCCCAAACAGCCACAACAATTATTTTTTTTAAGTTAGTTTAAGTATGTATACCCACTATTATTGTTATGCATCTGCTTGGATAGTTACTTGTTAACCATTCCTAGAACAAACTCCATCACAACAATCTGTATCAACTACACACTCAATTTCTCCAGAGGGTGG